AAGACTTATACCTCTTTCAGATAGTCTTAATTGCGTGTCTTAATAGATAGATAGACTTAATAGTATGTTATAACGTTGATTAATGTGTTTGTAATATTCAGTTTATTTATTTAAAGTATTTTGTGAGCAATTATATAAAAAAATCGGATTTTCTTTTCTCTCATTCACAGAATAACCACATTGGATATAGTTACAATAACAAATTGAATAGTAAACAGACGACTGTGTTATTATGGTAACGTTTTAATTATTTATACAAACTTTTTATAATTCTCATTTTCATCCTCTTATTTGCTGTTTTTCAGGATAACATGTAGCCTATGTTCACCGCATATGAAGTAGTTTCCCATATTTGAAAGATTTTTTAAAATCGATCCATTAGTTTCGGAATAATAATAATATTCGTTGCAAACAAACAAACAAACACAAACATACGATCAAATCTTTCCTTTTTATAACGTTACTATAGATGAGTTAAATATCAATAAGATATTGCGAATGCAAAAATAAATTAGAATAGTATTTTTTTCATATGTTGTGTTAGCCCTGCACCAATATTTATCGATATGAGAGCATTCTCCTTTGTAAGCCATTGCCAGTGCGAGGTTTGCGCAGTGAACATGTTGGCCTTAGTTTTGTGTTTTATATCTTGCCTAAGTTTCAATGTAAGTAAATTTGAAGCTTACATCCTTAGAATCTATGCTTATATCGTTAATAATAAAGTTGGTTCTTTTTGGAGTTGATAAATAATATGAACCATTACTATTGTATATCTTATTGAACCTTTGTATTGTGAAAACGTTTATATTCAAATACTGTGAACTGCAGTACCAGTCATCTTAAGAAGGAGATATGAAATACATTTAGCATTTACAATGCTATAGTGAAATATAATAAAAAAAAAAGAAAAAATATTAAAAAATCTAGATGCTCGATACACTATGTGTTTTGTTAAAAAGAAAGCCATGTTTTAAAGTGTAAAGAAAAATAAACTTTATAATTCCTATATAATTTACTTCAAAAACATTTAAGATGTTGTTAATTGAGATTATTTCATGTGTTGAAATCCGGCAACTCATTGATTGCGATTTGCAACATTTCTTTTTGTTGTCTCTGGTAGCTCAGTTATACCAGTCGGTTCGTGTCGTCGGCTTATGTAGAGTTTGTTGGTAGAGAGCAGATACCTAGTTCACTTTGTAGAGTATTCCTCCGGTTAAGTTAATATTAGTTGGTTGAGCAGTCGTCCAATTCAGTTGGTAGAGTATTCCCTGGTTCACTTGGTATAGGTTGATTGAGCAGTCACTCAGTTCAATTGGTAGAGTATGCCCTTGGTTGATGAAAATTTTCTATTGAACCGAAATCTAATGAATCTAGTCATGTAATAACCTTGGGACGATGGAATTTTTAAAGTATCTTTCAATAAGATAAATAGAGAGTGATGATATATTTATATTATAAAATTTATTTTCCATATTTTCTTACGGAAAATATTTTTTTCTAAAACAAAGGCGTTCATGATCTCGGATTTACACTTCATCTCGAGTCGTGTCAATTATAAAATAATTTAGTCATAGTCTGTCATGGTATTCACGTTTTTATGTTTAATTGTTTAATGGGAATAGTCATGGCCGTGTCGTAGCCATATTGTAGAATTAGTCATTTCATGATGGACCGATAATTACATGATATGTTTATATTTCATTATGAGGCCTTTTGAAACTGAGTAAATCGTTAAAACATCAATTACTAATAATAATATTTTTGCTCTTGTTCAAAATTTTAATCGTTAATTAAAGCCTTTTTTAGTAGGTTTTATTCAAATTAAACTCAACTTCCTTATTGGGATATGTGATCGTTGCAAGACAATAAAAAACAAATATTCGAAAATGTTAACACGCGACTGGGGGTGTATTGCTGCTGCTTCATAAGGCACGTAATACCTGTATGTATTTGCAGTCGTTAATACCCACGAATCCGCATTGGGACAGCGTAGAGGGTATAGCTATCCACACATCTTAACCATCCATAAAAAAGGCCTGAACCCTTACAGTGGGGACGTAAAAGTTGATTATTCATCTGAACAGACCATTATTATGCTATGGTCAGTTTTAAATGACTACATCATAAAACACAAGTATTCCATAAAATTATTGAACACTACATAAAATGATTAATTCTACGACGTGACCGCGACAGTAATACTTTAAGTCCTAAGGGTCGGTGTATATCTGAACGAAGATGTGTTGCGTATCGTCACTTTGTACATATATTCACAAATGATTTTTCGACGAATTAACTCTAATGGCGAGTTTACTTTAACTCGACGGAGGATCCGTTGCGTAATAACGTACATGCTTGGTTGATTAGATTTGAGTCCCATCTCAGTGTACCTGGGCCTGATGGATTTTTTTAGGCATTAAGAATTATTTTATTATCAGCTTCTATATTTAGGTTGATGTAAATCTGACGAAAGATCCGTCAATGTTTATCGGAAGTATACCTACTACTCGTACGAATTCGTTAAGAGTTTTTTAAAGCTTTTTCATTAAGTATATTTTGCAGTATAGTATTGTGAATGAAAAATTGATCAAACATTGCAATAGAATAATTATAATAATGAGCCAAGATTTGGAGTAATCTCTCACCTCTATACTCATCCATTAAAGACTATAACTATACTATAAATCACGGCCTACGTAAATTAGAGAGATATCGTAACTCGATACCTAAACAAGGAGTAATAAAGTAAACAATAAAAGTAATGTTGTATATTGACATGGATTTTCAATTTTTACGAGTTTATGGTATTGACTAAATAAGATTCAAATTCTATGAAAACAAAAAAATAATGACGTATTAAAAAAAAGATTCTAGTTATTTTCGTAAAATTATTAAGCAATGAGAATTCTTGGCCATATCTAAACCTCTACATTCTTTTTTTATTCTTTCACCTATAGGACGCTTAATCATACTCGGAAAATTTTCCATATTGCCAACCATCGTTTGCAAAAAGTCGTGTATTGTAATTTATTACAATACATATAAACTACTCTAAGGCTGCGGCCACAATGTGATTTACACAGTGTCATCTGTCACAGAGTCGTTAATTAATTGTATCGTTTTATCATCCAGCTAGTCTTTATTCATTAGGGGGTTGGACATTTTAGCGAATATTATGAAAATATTTCGTTTCATTATAGATTATTAAAATGGAAACACTGGTGTCAAACCATATTCATCCTTCTTTATGATTTGTTTCTATTTAATAAAAATTAAACAAAGCGGTAAAAGCGATAAAATTAAACAAATTAGTGTTTTAACATCGCTAAGATATCGGCGGTCGCTCTGCTGGTAAACCACTTTAAGGTATAATAAGCATTTGATTTACAATAAAAATATAGTGACTGATAATTAATATTGATTGATAAAACTATCCACTTTTAAGTTAGACCTAATTACATAGTGTATTGAAATGCATCGTGACAGTAAATTTTCATTTATGTATATGTATATGTTGCCTATAGATATGTTGCAATAGTCTCTTTCACGCCTATCGATAACATTCAAACATTTGAAAAAAAAACAGTTAAAATACACACTATTATTAATATAGACAATAAATTCATCGATTCGCACAAAACTGAACTCAAATGTGAATTGATCCCAACCCGACTCAAGATAAGAAAATTGTTAATAAAGTAAAATATAGTCTTTACTACAGTCAAGGGCTGGATTTAAAAAGAGTTGCACGCAGATTAAGTTGTAAAAAATATTGATAAGTTAGTATTCTAGAAGTTTCGATTTTTTTTTGTGGACAAATATATTACATCTAGAGAAAAATCAAACATGGTAAAGTATTTAGGCTTCAGAAAGATCTGAATATTTTAGTTCAGGTTGAAATTTTATTTTGTGATACAAGTATTTGTAGTTTGCTACCAAACTACAAATACTTGTACGTATATAGCGCATCCATTTAGGGTAAAACGGATGATGACTGAGTAAAAAAAAAAAAAAATTGTCCGTCAGCCAGATAATAGAAAAATATTCGAACCCTATTTCTTTTGCTTAATAATTCAACAATAATTATGTAATTTAACAAGAAATGGGTTAAGTAATAGGCGGTAAGGTTGAGGAGTGGCCACTCTCACTTCTCGCCACAGAACATAGTATGTTCTGTGGGGCTCGCTATGTCACAACTAAGTAGAAAATGTAAAAAGGTGACACGTCATGCAACATTTCAACTCAATGTTGACAAATTTATTGATCATTCAAACTAATTTATTGATGACGTAAAAAATAAATAAATACGTGTTTAATTTTATTCAGTAATCTACCTGACGGACAAACAAAAAAAAAAGTTATCAATCCTATTCCGCTGTTCGTCCATCTGTCAGTCTATCTGTATGTAACTCAAGAGGATGATAGACATGCAGGTGAAATTTTCACAGATGATGTACTATTTCTGTTGTCGTTATAATAAAATACACTAAAAAACAAGATAAAATAAATGTTTAAGGTAACTCCCATAGAACAAACGATGGTTTTTCGCGTGTTTGTATAGATGGAACACTTCGTGCGTAAATCCGACTCGCAATTGGGTGGTTTTTTTTATCTTATTTATTTATTTCATCACCCAAAGTCATTGATCTTAGAACATTTAATAAATAGTAACAATATTTATGAAACACTGTCCGTACAATATAAACAAATCTGCAACCTTTTGAATACGGATATAATTAAGTAGTTTACAATTTACCTATCAAAACATTATTTCTCATATCTGACTAGCTGTTTTCCTGCGATTATTGCCTCTGGTCGTCGCGTATTATGAGGCATCAGATAAAATAAATTTTAAAACTACTGTTTTGGAGCCTTCTTAGATTAGTTATAAATGAATTTTATATTTATTTTATATTCTAAATAGGTATCATTTGTTATTTTTCTTAGGATGTAAATTTATTTTGATTTGTTACATTATTTTCTCATGAAGTAAAACCAAATAAATTTTGTGATTTCAGGCGGTATCTGGTGAGATGGCACCTCATATTGAACTCAACGATGGCAATCAAATACCCATGGTGGCTTTAGGGACTGGACGTATGACTGCAGCCGGGGTTAGTTCTCTTTTACTATTTAATTAGCCTGCTGACAGTTGATCTGTCAGACTGACAGAGCTTTATTTTGACAGATGAAATCAAAAGCCAATGGCTTCACACGGGCATAGAAAATAATATGCCAACAGGGCTCAAGCGTCCCGTAATCTGGAGACAACCATTGTTCAGAATAATTAGAATTATCAGACACAGAGAATATCAAAGGCCAAGTTATAATACTGATAAAATAAATCTGCATACAATAATCGTTGAAATAGGTATTACAGTCACAACGGTCGGCGCACTATCAGTAAAGTTTTGTTTGATATGCGATATTCCAGAGAGTAAGAGCGAGAAAACAATAATTTGTATATTAAATGATAGGAAATGGTATCTTCTTTTATTCACAAAATGGGCCCTGCGTATAGATGTTGCTTCACTGTGCATCTTCTATCGCATCTATTACGGGGAATGCTCCGAGGAATTGTTCGGGCTCATACCTGCCGCTACCTTCTGCCATCGTTCCACGCGACAAGAAATCCTCGCCCATCATTTGGATGGTTGGAAGTCCTCAACTGTGCATTTTTCTAGGAGTTTCCTGCCTCGCACGGTCAAACTCTGGAACAGTTTGTCGCCAGCGGTATTTCCGGACCGATACGACCTTCAAACTTTCAAGCGTAGAGCTTATTCGTTCTTCAAAGGCAGGCAGCGCGCTTGTAGCCCCTCTGGTATTGCAGATGTCCATGGTGATCTGTATGCTCGTCTGCCCCCTATCCCATAAAAAAAGGAATGTTTGCTATGTTGCTCTTAATATTTTAACTAATTCAATACTCTTAATATAAAACTGTACACAGAGCAAAGACAACCGCGACTGTAGATATTTACTAGCATTTTTTCCATTGTTACGTTGTTGAATTTGGATTATTTTCAGGCATCAAACGATGAGGTTCGTGATGCCGTTTTATGGGCAATAGAAGCTGGCTATAGGCATATAGACACCGCTGCCATCTATGGAGATGAAGGTGAAGTCGGCCAAGGGATAGCCGATGCTATCCAGAAAGGAATTGTTACCAGAAAAGAACTTTTCATCACTACTAAGGCAAGTATGGAATAAACTCTATATTGAAGTAGCTTTTACCACTATTTTAAATAATTTATTGATTGATTATAACATAAAGAAGTGGAATAAAAACCGAATTCAAAAAAGCATAACAAAAGACAAAAGTGCTTCAGTAATCTCTTATTAGTATTAACCGACTGACGTCATTCATTTATTAATTTATTTATTAGCTGTGGAACGACAAGCACGCCCGAGACATGGTGGTGCCGGCTCTGAAAGAATCTCTGAAGAGACTAGGCTTGGAATACGTGGATCTTTATCTTATCCACTTCCCAGTGGCCGTCAAGGTAAGATTTTACATTTATCACATGTTCTGAAAATGTCAACGTCCATTGCCGAGTGCCGAGATTCGCATGCCGGTTTCAAGATGTTGCCTACTATGAGGGTTCAATTTCCAGTCGGGTTAAGATAGAAAAGTTAGTTTGAGTATAGTGGTATTTGTTTTGACAATTTATCCATAATACAAGTGTTTATGTGCATCTGGACTGAGTGATCCTTTTGCAATTTTCAACAAAACCAAAACGTACATTTAGTCAAAATTTATCAAAACTCATAACCGAAATCAAAAAATGTGTCACTCTTAAGCGATCGAAGATATTGCCCAATATGTGGATCACTCAATTCAGATATTAGAGAATATGGCTACAAGTCGAATCTCAGGAAATACTTACACTGTGAATAAAATTTTTATATCAAAAAATTGTACAGAATTTGTCACATTATTTTGCAAAAAATCAAGATACTTCAATGTAAATCCAGGATTCTACGATAGTTTCAATGGATCACTCAATCCTGACGCATTTAGATTAAGTGATTCTAGAAATACGGTAATATGCTTACAATATACATGATAACTTTTTTTTTACTTTAAAGAAACTTTTAAATATATTTGTACAAATTAATTTCACACCACAAACGTTTATAGTTAAAAAGTTATGTCCAATCAAAGCTTTTTAAATTTTCTGAATTGAGTGATCCTTATAATCGCATGTAGATAACAACCCCTAGTATACAAAATACGTTGAAAATTTGTACAACATTGTGACTAAAATTTGGCATATAATTTATTTGTTAACATCATTTTATTCACGAGATATTCGTTTTTAAATTTTTTGTCAAAGAAATATACAGTAGGGTGACCATATTAAAAGAATTTAAGAAACAATAACATCTTAGACAAAGAACAACAAACAGAAGATACTTCTGGAATTTCTACTCCTACAACCTTAACATCGAGTACACTTAATAGTCCAAAACCTGTTTTAGACGGTAAAAGTTGTTCGTTTACATTAGACGTTGATACCTATGATTTAAAAAAAATAACGCCGTTATATTTAAGTAGTGTTGCCCAAATGCAAGAACAAGACGAGACTTGGCCAGTCTTGGTCTTGGTCTTGCGTCACTACACCCGGTCTTGGTCTTGGTCTTGGTCTTGCGCTCCCAGTCTTGGTCTTGGTCTTGCAGCAAGAGTCTTGCAAGTCTTGCAATTACCTATTAGATTATTGCTATTTATTAAAGTTTACTTTAGATCTTAGGAATTAACATAGCCATAGTAAAGAACAATCAGATTAATAAATGTCTGAAGATTTGATAAAAAATTCGATAACTGCCACATGGTTATCAACTGAGCTATATGCCGTTTTCCATGGGAGTAACTGTTTCTTTATAAACATTGACGCTTTATAAGCTTACATATGCTAAAACATCTAAAAAACAAATTATTTACAATAAATTGACTGTATTTTAAAGAATCTCTCTAGAAAGAGATTGAACTCTCAACTTATATGAAATTTAATAAAAGAGTTTTACGATTTATCATTTATTTCAATAAAAAATAAAATACAACACAAATCAAATAACATTACAGTACATAACAGCTTTGTCATTAGGTTCTGTTACTTTATATCAATTCTTTTGACCAAGAATTAATACAAAGTAACCATCTGGCTGACTCATCACTTAACGTATTTCTATGTTTTCTAATTCATCTCTCAGCAGGTACTGAAGTTGCAGGTATTGAGAGAGAATTACGGGCCATCTTCGATAAAGTCGGATACTCTGTCTCATGCGTCCTCCACCAATCTAAAATGTCTTCCGAGCTATTGCATATGTTTAAGCATTTTGTTTCGAGCTGCTTGGAAAGCCAGAATGAGCCTTTCATCCACTTCAGATCGATTAGGTTTCTCATCTAACTGTTTTACCATGGATTCAATTTTATCGAGCAAGAGATTGAAAGATACAATGACTAGAGGTAATGTAACATATTTTACTCCACCAAGTTTTGTACTTAAAAGTTTAAAGTTTATTAGAAACTTATGTATTTTTTCGAGTATTTGCCATTCACTAGCTGTGATTTGAAAATCATTCAATTCGGTGACAGAACTGCACAATATGTTAATGCTCGCTCTCATTTTTAAACCAAATCCAATTATATCATGTATGGAATTCCATCTCGTTGAACAGTCAAGAATGGGATTCAGATTTGATGGCACGCCAGCTGCTTCACAAGCAGACTGAAACTTCTTCTACACTATTTCACTTCTTTTTATTTTACTGGAAATACTGCGTAATCAAAGTGTGGTGGTAGCTGTTTGCCTAGTTCATACATAAATTTGGTATTTGCAGTTGCAGTTGCGTTGTTGTATTTTATCAATTATGTCATATTCCAATAAACATTCGTGGAAAATCGTTGCAATATTTTCCCCAGTATGTCGACCACGTGATGGTATAAAATCAAGAACTACAGATCGATACTTCCATTCGTTGTCTAGATAATGCATAGTAACCCCGTAGTAACTCCTACCAGCAATTGACGTCCACCCATCAATGGTAAACGACATTTTAGATGCTAATTGTTGAAGTCGTTCCTTGAGATTCAATTGGAGCGCTTCAAATCGCTCTTTGACTTTCCTTCTAAGTGTGGACCTTTTAGGAAACACCATATTCGGGCAAATACGTCGAAAATATACTTATGTAGCTTCGTCATCGAAAAATGAGAAGGGAAGATATTTTTTCACCACCCAATCAACTGTAGCTATCGTGATGTTGTCACTACTGTTTTCCGACTGAAATAAAACAATAAATCTTGTGTTATTATTTAAAACATACAAGGTTTGTGCGTTTAGGAGGAGGAGGTTTGTTGTTGTTAAATCGAGAAAATCGGTAAATTAAGGTTTGTTATATTAAGGTTGCACCGTACTGTAATTTACCAAAATAAAGTACTTAGTTGTTACAGGCCGATTATGAAAACAAATGAAAATATAGGTGTTTTATAAAAAAATATTTAACACGATAATTACATACTTAATATGTGTTATGTAATTGTAAGATAAGTAAATTTATTCTTACCTGTCCACTTCTTCCAGCAGTTACGAAAAAGCTTGCGATATCTCCGCTTAATTTTGGTTTAACAGGAAGAAATATTTGTGATTCCTTTTTGTGGAAAGATATTAGATGTTTCCTTAAGCCTGAAGTGTTTCTGTTTTTCATTTTTATTTCAACTTTTTTATGTTGGCACAATTTACACAAGGCAGTTTGGGATGCATGAATTATTTCGAAAAACTCTCTCGAGTCTTTTAGATTTGTAACTCAAGCTCTCATTACTCGGACTAGAACAATTTGAATCTTCGTCACTCATATTAAACTGTAGAGGGGATACGTTTTCCGAAAACAACAAAATTTAGTAAAAACTATTATTACGTTAGACTCGAAGCACAGCTCAATTGAAAATGACTGGAATTAAAATAATTCCTTTTTTTATAGTACATTTCCTTGCTTTCTACCGAGCCGCCACGGCACGTGCCGGCTCTATTCAAGGGATGTCGCCGCAAATCAAACGATACCGCGTGCGGCGTACAAACACAGATTTAAACCTACTTGTACAGATGCGTGACATTGTACCAATCACTATTCTTTACATATAAGTGAATGTTTTTTCGTACATCTATACTAATATTATAAAGCTGAAGAGTTTGTTTGTATGTTTGATGACAGAAGTTTTAAAATAAATAAATAAATCCTGAACGTCACTATACCTCCAAAGTTACTATTCCTCGTGGACGAAGTCGCGGGTACTGCTAGTAAATACTTACTCTCATCATCTCCCTCAGAGATATTCGGGCTCATAAGCAATACAAAAATCCTATCGCAGGCTTTTTATTTTAAAAGTAGGTAGGTACGCTTTTTATATTATTTTATTAGTTTTGTAGATTTTTTTACACGTTTTAAGTATGTTTAAAAGTGGCTACAATATTTATCAAACGGGTGATATTTGAACACGTTTTTGCTATTTTTTCTTGTAAAAAATTAAGAAATTTAAGAAATATTTTGACTAAATGTACAATAATAGTACCTAAGTAATTAGTTTAAACCCATATAATCAATATTATAATATATACTTACTAGAATAAATTATTATGACATCTACTACCTATCCTTACCATTATCTAATCATAATACTACTTGCGTGATCAGTATAATGTATTCGTTTCCATTCTAAGCACACTGAAACTTATTTATTCTTTGGAACACCTGTGCTCTTAAAACTATACCTAGGCCCTGTGGCGGCAATCAATTAGTGTCAAATGTTGTGATTTCGGCGCGGCAGCACCGATTGTTGTATGTAATTTCAAAAGAAGCCGCCGCCGCGTGTATCATCACCATGTACTTCCGAAAAGCGGCAAATTTCTTTGAGAAGTCAGTACAAAACCTTTGATGCCGCATTATCAAAGTGCCGATGGTTAAAACAAAACTATGCATGCGCTCTGTTTGATTTTAATGGATATTTTTTTATTCGCTATGTATGCTTATGGTAGGTATTGGTCGTAATGCGCATAGGTCCAGTTTTTCATATTCTTTGATACAGTTTTTTGCGTCTCATAGAATTCCTAAGCGTACCTATACACCGAACTGTTATTCCTAACTACTCCGTGAAATAGCGCTAAGTTTTAGCTGCAAGACGCAAGAGTCTTGTGGGATTAGTCTTGTTCTTGCTCAAGTCTTGCATGGTCAGTCTTGGTCTTGGTCTTGCCAAAAATACGCGGTCTTGTTCTTGATCTTGGTCTTGCAAAAATGCAAGACCAAGACTGAATTTGGGCAACACTATATTTAAGGAGGAAAAAATCTCACTCAGGCCATTATCAGAGATATAAGACGTTACCAAAATTCAAATGGTCAGACATGTTAAAGGAAAAGATATGGCTAAATTCGAAGTTACCATGCACTTGGACTTTGAAGAAGTATAAAATTCAGGATGACACCCTAAAATTTAAAGGAAAATGTTCTCAATGTAGTGCAAAGATTGAAATAGCAACTTTGAATCACACTGATAAAATACATACGTTTCATTAGCAATAGCTTTTAACTTCCCAATAAAATCGCATTTTGGTCACCCTACTGTATATTTCTTTGACAAAAAATTTAAAAACGAATATCTCGTGAATAAAATGATGTTAACAAATAAATTATATGCCAAATTTTAGTCACAATGTTGTACAAATTTTCAACGTATTTTGTATACTAGGGGTTGTTATCTACATGCGTTTATAAGGATCACTCAATTCAGAAAATTTAAAAAGCTTTGATTGGACATAACTTTTTAACTATAAACATTTGTGGTGTGAAATTAATTTGTACAAATATATTTAAAAGTTTCTTTAAAGTAAAAAAAAAGTTATATGTATATTGTAAGCATATTACCGTATTTCTAGAATCACTCAATCTAAATGCGTCAGGATTGAGTGATCCATTGAAACTATCGTAGAATCCTGGATTTACATTGAAGTATCTTGATTTTTTGCAAAATAATGTGACAAATTCTGTACAATTTTTTGATATAAAAATTTTATTCACAGTGTAAGTATTTCCTGAGATTCGGCTTGTAGCCATTTTCTCTAATGTCTGAATTGAGTGATCCACATATTGGGCAATATCTTCGATCGCTTAAGAGTGACAAATTTTTTGATTTCGGTTATGAGTTTTGACAAATTTTGACTAAATGTACGTTTTGGTTTTGTTGAAAATTGCAAAAGGATCACTCAGTCCAGATGCACATCAAGTGTTTAGCTACTTAATTTAGGATATGATGTTTGTGGTGTTCTCTAATATTTATTTGTTTTGATTTTTCCTACTCTTTGTAAAAGTAGAAGGAAGGTGAAAATAAAGGGAAAAACTGAAACAAGAAGTTTATAATGAAATCTTATTTTCCAGAGTGATGATTCACCTGATAATATTGACTATCTGGACACCTGGAAGGGCATGGAGGATGCTAAACAGCTGGGCTTGGCGAAATCTATCGGAGTGTCGAATTTTAATCAAACGCAGATCGATAGACTGGTCGCTAATAGTAAGGTTAAGCCTGCTGTGAACCAAATTGAGGTAAGTTTGGGAGCAGTAAGGGTCAGTGCAAATCTGACAATATTTCAGTTTCCGACTAGGGTTGCCATGAGTAATCTGAAATAGAGTATTGCCCTCTATATATTATGAAGGTGTGACTGACGGGTTTGATGTTTAGGCAAATAATAAAAGGCTGACTAGCTTGAGAATGGATTTATTTTGTGGTATAATGGTAAAGAAAAAAAAACTGTAACAAACAAAAAATGAAAATAAAAATAGTTCGTATTTTAAACTAAATATAAAAATTAAAATTACCAAACAAAACTAATACATACCCTTTTTGGGTTTCTTAATAAAAACTTGGATCGTCCAAGTTTCAGGATATGAGAGAGAGGGAGAGAAAGAGAGAGATAGATTTATTTAGTTACATGAGACAAACTACAATCATACATAAAATTGACAAAACGTTTTTAAATGATACAATGAATTTAAACAAAGAAACGATACATAGGGCTGGATTGATTTTTTGTGTCTCACGTCTGCAAGAAAAAAGGTAGCCAATTCAGCAATTTTTCAGGTCCTTATCGAACTCGACGCTGGTTTTCAATTGGCTCCTCGCCGTTTTCTCGGCAGGTAGACGCCAACTTCTTTGAGCTCACAAAAAAAAACACAGTACAAAAAACTACATATAAACAATCAAAAACAATAATTATCACATTTACCATTATTCTATTTACTATTATTAATCAATATTTTATCATTCATTATTATTATACTATTCATAATTTATTTTATCAATTACTAAGTATTAATATAATTTATAATTTTATTTTTATTCATGAAGATATGTTATAATTTATAATAACATATCTTCATGAATAAAAGTTTTATATTTAAATTTATACCATTTACAATAGGTATATGTGATTTACATGTTTACAACAGCACGCGTAGCATGACAAACTTGAGAAACGCTTTGTCTACGCTCATTTGTCAGTTTCTCGGGTCGAGAGTGAGATATCGTATGGGCGCACCCGAGAAAAGTGACATTTGATTGTAGACAAAACGTTCTCGCGTTCGTCATGCTACGCATGCAGATGATTTTTTACGAACTGACATCCATAAAGAGTATATTTGATTAGTCAAAATTTCAAATTACGAAAGGTGAATAATAAAAAGAAATGATGTTGAATATCAAAGACAAAAAGTTTGTATGCTGAAACCTAGGACGAAATAAACGGTGGTACAGCACACCGTTACAATACCGGGGGGATTATTTTTACACAATGTATATCTATGATCATGTTAAATATACAAGTGATAGTCACGCATATCGACATATACTATAATTTTCAAATAAAAAATAATGTTTAGCGAATTATACTCTTTTTTTATATATCTATACTTTTTAGTTAACTCGTTTGAAACTAGGGGTATGTTCCGATATACACTGCGACCACTGAACAGTATGACGTCAATTTAGTATACTGGAAGCCCGTTTTTTTATAGCTAGTTATACTGGTGACTTTTTAAAACGGAACGCAGTCCAGTATACTGTTAATCCTATTTTTTGCAAGGTGAATATAATATAAATATAAAGATTCCCTCTTTTCAAAAGAAAATTGGAAAATTGTATAAAAAAATTATTTATCAATTAAATCCATCTTATAAATAAACGTAAGTATTTTTTTTTTGTTTATTTAGAAACTTATCATTTTCTGATTCTATTTCGACTGATCACGTGATCAAAAGCACTGCGAGCACCTTACCTCGAAATCTCCAGTGCTCACAGTACAAATATGGCGGCAACTTATGACGTCATAAATTTCCCTAGGGTACTGTAGCAGTGTAGGGGACTGCCAGTCCATAACGGAACGGATTTTTCAGCAGTAAGACCACTGCGCAGTGCTCGCAGTGTATATCGGAACATACCCTAGATATACTCAATAAAAGTTGACAACCTTAGTCCTGATCCACGACTGATGAAACGTGACGCATTTTCTGTCAGGTGTGCATTGCCCCTTGCTTTTACAATTCAATCATCATTAGCTATTTTAAGACTGAGTGCTATTTATCACTTTGTCCTGCCTCCCCGTAGGTGAAAAAAAATTTAAAATTCATCTCGCAGTTTCGGAACCTGTCGATGCACACAAACAATCGAATTTTTCCTCTTTATAGCATATACGTTATTTAATGATTATTTCAGGTGAATCCAACTTTGACACAAGAGCCACTAGTCTCGCATTGCCAAGCTCTTGGTATAGCTGTAATGGCATACAGTCCATTCGGATTCTTGGTAACCAGGAAGTCTGAGATGGCACCACCACCGAGGGTTGACGATCCTGCTCTAGTCAAGATAGCTGACAAATATGGAAAGAGTACAGCACAGATTGTATTGAGATATTTGGTATGTTTCTTTTTTGATAAAGTACTATAACATAAAATACTCTTTGCTAAGTATCTAAATATGCAAAAACAAAAATGTTATTTCTTCGATAGCTGAGAGCCCGCTTTGAGTAAAGAGTTATATGTAATTAAATTTTTTTTGTACTGGATGTATCGAGAAACTATTTGACACTCATATCTATAGTCAAGAGAAGTAATCATTAGAGTATATGTCATATCTTAAGTATAAATGGTCGGGTAGAGTTTTTAGCTTAAATTCTCTCTGCTCTGCTCTGCAGCAACTAAAAGGAAGCTTATAATGAATAAAAATATTACTGGTTTATTTACATTGCTCAATCATTGGTTTATCGACCGTATTCGGCATACGAAGTCATCGATATATGCAAATGAGCCATTGGGACAAATAAATAAGGATATAATGAGAATCATAAAATACTCTTTGCTAAGTATTTGAAAAAAGAATTCGAACTCAATGCTAGATCTTGTTCTTTTAACCATAAAACAACTTTATTTTTCAATCTTTAATATTCCTTTTGACAGGTTGAAAGAGGATTAATACCCATTCCAAAATCAACAAACAAGGAGCGAATCAAGCAGAATATCGACCTATTCAATTTCAAACTCACCAAAGAAGAAATGGAAACTATAAATAAATTCAATAAGAACATCAGAGTCGTCAGCACGCCTTTCTGGAGAGATTATCCCAATTTTCCTTTTGAACGAACATAATAGCAAATTTGTTTCAATAAATATAAAATGTATAAAACATAATTAAACTAAGTTTCAAAACATTAAAATCAATAATAAAATATGTTAACTAATAAAAATAACTAACAAAATATGTGTTCTTTATTTAGATGACACAAATATGTCATCGAGGCATTATTGTTACTTAGTAGAACGCATTCCGTTATCTATATTAATATTATCAAGAGAAAAGATTTATTTGTTTATTTACATGAAATCAGCTGCGGAATACTACTCGGACAAATTCGGCAAAAATTGTCACACCTACGAGAAGCTACATTATACACGGGTGATAGGCTTTTTTTACTCGTACGAAGTTGGAGAAAACTGCTACTTTTGTTCTAAAACAAGAACTGTTAATAAGATTTCGATAAAAATTAATGACTCAGTTGCGCTGGTCAATTGATAAACAAACTCTGTAGCCGAGTGCATCGCTCTAGAAAAGGACTTTTTTATACCTTCTCAGGTCTGGGTGTCGTGTTACCTCTCTTATCTCAGATACTCCATAGTACGGGGGCTTTATCTACTCAACTTGAAATCTGAGCAATGTATGCGATGTTATTTAATGGGGTCAGCACTCGTAGTGCGGTTGACTTCTGTGAAATCAAATCTGTAATGGATAAAATGAGAAAAAAATATACTCAAAAACTGAAGCCTTTTTACTGAAAACTTAATTTATATAAATTAAAAAATGAAATAAAACTGTGTTTCTTATATGATGCCTTTGGAGCTTTTTAGTATTACTACCTTATTTATTTTTATTAAAATTACTAGATTTAATAATTTAACTGTTGTATTGAATAAAAGGACTAATAAGGAAGTCTATCAAGGTTTTGATCGCTTTAAGAATAACTTTGCGTATAGATCTTAACGTCTTCCTCATAGCACGACTTTGTTTCTTTATTCATAATTGAAATGCATAATTATTTTCTGTGTTAATTATATCGCATATAATATAATAATAAATTGATAGCATCCTTTTATGAAGTTAACACAAACGAGCCCTATTCATTACACTTGGCCATTAAGGATTGGTAGAAGTTCACGATTGTAAATGCAGCTGTGATTGACGTTTAGATATGTTTTTTGGATCACAGGGGCTCGCTCATATAAAATCTTAACCATCCACATAAAAAAAAAGAATACAAAAAAATCATAATCCTTGTTTTAAACTCCAGGCCTTTTTAATAATTGAAATATTCAACGAGTTCTTATTACAGATTATTAAATAATTAAATAAAATATAATTTGAGTAAATTGTCTACTAAACATACTTATTAACTAGTGTTCTAGGGTTATCGAAGTTACTATTATAGATAATAAATGAGCCCAAGATAATAAATCTATCGACAGTACTAGCATCTATGCAATAGCCAAAAGTTAACTACACCTTTTAATTACCTTATAAATACTTAAGTATTATTTATATATTTACTATATCGCAAATTTATTATTATTTTATCTATTATTTATTGAAATAAGTATCCCAATAAATCGACTTAAATAAATTTTGTTCATTAAAATACAATTCATAAGTGAAAATAGAGGCATCTAATTTAATAACTTTAATGATTATACTTACATAAAGAAAAAAAACTAATAAAAATAATTGAAATAAAAAGCGATATGGCGGGGTATATACAGTCCTAAACGAATCATACCTGTAGGATAGGATATTCCTATGAAACTATTACTCTGGGTTTTATTAAATCATTGACTATAATCTAATTGCAATCTTCGCAAATCATTATATAATAACAAATGTATTGAAAAATCTTGCATAATTGAACTATAATGATATGTACTGTATATAATGATATTTTTATTACAAATAACACTAACACATAACATTCGCGTGTTCATAAATTTGCAAGTTCCAGTTTTCATATAAAAAATGACTATATAACTATTAAATGACTATTCATGTCTAACAACATCCTTAGAAAATTATAGTAACGTCATTGTCAATAGGTATTTCCATGTTTTATCATCGTGTCTTGCTTTAATTGATGATCAACAGCTCGCGATTTGCCTAGTCAAGTCTTTTTTAACCTGACTACGGCAAAGCGAAAAGGAGGGTTATTATTTTGGCAGGTATGTGTGTAAGAATGTTCATCTGTTCCCTTATAATTTCGACTATATACTCATCGTAACTGGAGAAATGAGATATCATTAGAAGCGTCGAAGCATCTTAATTATTCGTGTGCTGTAAATACAAGTACTTTCTCGATACTTTTCTTTCGATACCAAGTGCTTTTGTACTTAAGATCTATACGGTAAAGTAATTCTTAAAGTGAACAAAGTCTTGATAGAGTCTCAGCATGTAGCTGTAATCGATTATATTTTAATGTATAAATTGCTTAGCATCTAAAGGATTTCCTTGTTAGTCGTTTTATTCAATATAACAGTTAAGTAATTAAATCTAGGAATTTTAACAAAAATAAATAAGGTAGAAATGCTTAAGAAGCTTCAAAGACTGATGACTTTTTTCAAAGTTTTCAAAATCTATCACAGATTTTTAAAAATCTTTCTATTAGAAAATTAAAATAAATTAAGGTGTATGTGAGGTTTCATTAAACTTTATATTTTTTGAAAGACCTATTTGATGCCATTTTGCATGGAATATAACATCAGTCAAAATTATCTATCTTTGCTGGGTAGTGTTCTTCCGAAACGTCCAAATTTTCAAATCAGCCTGAATTCAATCGATGCTTCATATTATGTTGACCTTTAGCCTTTATGGCCCTATGCTACAAAAAAAAACTTAAAAAAGAAAAGGATGTAATAGTAAACAGTATGATCAATACTATGTGAGATGATCATGCTCTCCTGGAAAGTGAACCACTGAACTCTTTACCCACCACACCGACTCTTGGCAGGATGATTATGGCGGAGCGCGAGGAATGTTGTCTGAGCAGAAGACCTATTTTGATAAAACATATTTATATTTTCTAAGATACTATTCTAAAAAAAAATCCAAGAAAAATTTAAAGGGTAAGTAATTATGAAGAAAAATTGCCAGAAAAAAGTGACATGAAGAATCAAATCGAGGAAAAGCACTACTGAATTACTTATTAACTTTTTGAAGGCTAGTCTTGTTAGGTAAACATTAATAATAAATATTAAACAAAAATAATAATATCATAACATCAGAGAGCTTTGATTTTACTCATCTTCGCTTTTAATCGTCGATTGCAAAACCTCTGATCAGGTTATGTAATCTTATTTACACTTTACGATTTATTGAAGATATGCTAAAGATGAAATAGTTATTTATGATAGTATATGTAGGGAAAAACAGAAGAATAACAATTTTATCACACTGATGGTGCGTTGCACAAACGTCCATTAAGGTTTAATGACGATTTTAAGCACCAGTGAATGTTCCAAATTTAAAAATCTGTATGGATAATGTAGCATTAAACTAAAGAAAACTTTAATGTACTCGTACGTTTGTGCGAAATGTAAATGTAAAATTTGTGATGAAAATTAGAAATGATTACAGCATTAATTGCCTCGATAATTACCTCGATTTACGATAAGATGAGAGAAATCCGACTATGATAATATAGAGATCTGATGAGGTGAAAAGATAGCTACATGTCATATTCATGTAGCTATCTTCTCAGGACTGTATGACTGTATCATGTTGGACTGTATCTAGGACTGTATGACTGTATCATGTAGATAGCTACATGTCATATTCATATAGCTTGTGATATTCATCTATCTTCTCCTTTCATCAGATGTCCAATGATGACAATTGAAGAGGGAAAAAGAGGCGGTTTAAAAAAAAAAACAATTTTAATATTTTTTTAGATAAATATAGTGATTTTGATAAAAACTCAAAATAAATCCAATGAATTCAATATATACATCTATAGTAAGCTGATTAGTCGTGTCGTTATCTATGAAAATGTTCGCCAAGCTTTAAGTTTATTGTGTTTACAAGGCTCTGTAGGCTGGAGGCCAGTTCGTGTCTGACCTTACAGCAAGATGGAGTTGTTTCTGCTTTCATTAGTTTTGTTCGCCGGCTATACGAATGTAAGTAAATAAAATATTACAATTGTTTAAAGAAACACCAAATTTGAAATATTATAAATACATCATACATAAGTCGATGAATGTTTGTATTTAGGATTTAAATAATCATTTTACCACAACTAAGTTTTAAAGTAAGATCGAATCGATTTAAAGTAAGCTCAAAACAACTGGTGAATTTCTATTATACAAGGCAACGAGGACTAATATACATTATAGTAATATTAAAAATTGTAGAAATTTTTAGATAACATACATTTTTTGTTCTCGATAAAATATGTATATTGTGGTTTCACGAAATTTTCAATTTATGATGTGAAACGTGTTTATACGTTGACTTGCTCACCGAATTTCCTCAAGGAAGACTTTATTATATTTGATCAATTTTAAATTCACAATGCTATACTGAATAATATTCTTAATGAAAAACGCTTAAAAATCTACTTTGTACTTGAAAAATTAGATAATCCTGACAGACAAAGTAAAAAATCTTGGATTGACTATGGATAGTTGTCTTTCTTGGTCCCCGCAAATGGCTGACGTTAGCAAACGGATGCACTATTCTTTCCGCTCTCTCAAACGACTTCAATACTTTCTTCCCCTTAAAACCAAAATTATGCTAGCGCAATCACTCCTGCTTCCTATTCTTGACTACGCTGATATTTGCTACTTGGATGTGAATGAAGATCAACTAAATAAGCTAGAGCGCCTTCAAAACCTCGCAATTCGGTTCATTTTTGGACTGCGTAAATACGATCATGTCTCAGCTTTTTGAGCTCAACTTAACTGGCTTCCTATCCGTCTTCGCCGTGATTTGCACATCCTTTCATTCCTTTTTAAAATTCTTAAAGATCCTAATTCACCCGCATACCTGAATTCCCGTTTCCAGAAGCTTCCTCATCCACCCCGTCCCCGGCGGTACTGTGTTACCAAAACTTTGGAGCTGCCTAAAAGTAACACCAATTTTCTCTTCAACTCCTTTTCTGTACGGGCTGTTAGACTATGGAACAAACTCCCATTAGATATTCGAGACTGCCCCTCTATCATATCTTTCAAAACTAAACTCAAGGAGCACTTTCTAGCACAATGTTAGTATTCATAGTTTTTTGTAATCATTATTATTTTTATTTATATATGTATATTATATGTATTATATAATATTGTTTATTTATGTATTCTTATTTTCTTTTTTTTTATAGTTTTTTTTTATCATGCCTATATGTATTAATGTTAATATTCATTCACATCAAATTTAACAATTATGCACTTGTCAGTCTCCCGTTACTGCTTGATCTCCCACACCGCCTGGTTGGCTGGAAGAGATCTCTTATAGAGATAAGCCCACCCTTGCTTGTGATTTACATACTATTGTAATGTTGACTTTGTTTTTTGTGCAATAAAGAGTATATATAATCCTGTGCAGCTCAGTCGTTGGAGCACTCATTTGGAATGCGAAAGGTCGTGGGTTTGAGTCTCATCTCAGAGTGCCAGGGACAATTTCGTTAAGAAGACTTAGATTTTCAAAGTATCTGGCTTTAAAAACGTAAAACTATCTTTAAGCCTAGAAAAAAAATATCGTTTCATATCCGTAACAAAAATTGTACAAATATATCTACAAGTAATTTACAGTTTATCATAATTTACAGTTTATAAACTTAGTAGGTTATTATTATTTTCACGGAAGGTATCTTAATATGTTATCTATGTATAGTAATACATATAATAAAAATAAAAGGTGTGATATCAAATGGATGATTCTTTTTTTATGAGTTCTTTATTGCGAGGACAAGGTTTGTATTTAAGAAATTTTATAAAAAAAAACAACTAACTGAAAAAGATGGAACAAGATAAAAAATATGCAACATTATACATAAGATGCAGTAAGAAGCATGAAATTGAAAAGTCAAGTTCGTTCTCTCTTTGTACATGCCTCCGACTGTTATTACTCGTATTAAATTATGAAGTTTCTATTTTAATGATATATCTTTTTCTGCTTCTTTTAAATAATATTTAAGCAATTTTGAATACAACATTTTGAATTTTTTTAATACAAAATTGCTTAAATATAATAATTAGAGCAAATATTCATCTTTATCGATAGTTTAAATATTTGTAAAAATATTTATTTCGGTTTTTTGGATAGATTGCCTCCCCAAACGGCCGAATGATGAAAAATACGCAAAAATACAATACATTCGTCAGTCAGTTCAGCGATTAGCTAAGTCGCCCTGATTGTGAAAGGTCGTTGTCCGAGTCCCATGTCAGAGTTCCAGGGACAGAGTGGATTTATTAAGCATTTTGCATTAAGAATGTTTCTTTCATTTATTGTTATTTCTTTTAAAGCGATGGCAAACGTGAAGTACGGTCCAGTCTAAATAAATATGTACAACAAAAGATTTACCACACTCATGTTTTTGTTAGTATCTACTGGATTATTATTTCTATTTATTTATAATAGCATATAATAATAATTAAAATAGTTACAGATATCAAACTAATCTTGACAACTATTGTTTTTAGAATCTATAAATGTAGATTTTCAAATTGTTTTACAATAAATGTAACACACTGGTTTCTAAGATTGGACCAGCTATGTTTCTATTTGTCCTTGGAGCATCAATCAATGACCTTTGGGATCATACAGAGAACAAGTTTTAAGAACTAGTTTATTGAGAAGCCTGTATATAATGATAGATTTTCATATAATAATCATCTCGATGTCGCGTTCAAGTTACTCACTTGAATAAACGAGTTTCATCCATGTCTATTAGAACAGAACACCTTTTGAATGGGACGCTTCTGTTTTTTGGTTGTCTGTCCCGATCTCTCCAAAGATAATGGAGTCCATTATCAACCGCCAGCTCCTTCGGTACCTAGAGGATCGCCAGTTGCTTAGTGACCAACAATACGGATTTCGTAGTGGTCGCTCTGCTGGCGATCTTCTAGTTTACTTGACACATAACTGGGCTAAGGAAATTGAAACAAAGGGCGAGGCCCTGGCAGTAAGTTTGGACATAGCAAAAGCCTTCGATCGCGTGTGGCATAAAGCTCTTCTATGAAAACTTCCCTCGTATGAGTTTCCCGAGAAATTATGTGCATGGGTCACTAGTTTTTTGGCAGAGAGAAGCATTAAGGTTTTAGTCGACGGTGAATGCTCCGACCTACTGTCTATAAATGCTGGTGTTCCCCAAGGATGTGTGCTATCACCTACACTTTTTCTTCTGCATATTAATGATATGCTGCAAATTAGCGGTAGGGGAGACTGAGGACACTTGATCCTTACGGGAGACTAGATACAATGGATTTCCAGAGCTTCTGTAAACACTATATAATTGTAGACTGGCAAAATTTGTAGTCTTTGGGTCGTTCTCCATTTCTAAAGTTAGCACTCCTGTAAAATTTGAGAGTTGTGCAAATGGCAGATGTTTATGTGTTTCGTGTTGCAGAAAAATATTTTTTGTATGTTTTTACTTTGATTAAATAATTGATTAGTAAATTTATTTTGGATATGTATCACTTTTAAACTAGTCGTTATCTATGTGAGTCAACATCTGTTTTATAGAAAAGTGTTAATATTGGTAGATTTTTGTAAAATCTTTTTTTATAACCTCAACATACCTAGGGTACACATGGTACACTTTCTTTTGGGAGATATGATCCCACCGTATCAATGTCTCCTAACTTTTTTTTAAATATAATTTTAGGATTAAATATGCATATACAAAGAATTATCATTACATGTACCCGAAGCCACTAGTTTGTCTCGCGCCACAGCTTTTAACAGACACAACGTTAAAAATTTCTTTGAAAATTTGAAAAGCTTATTGCAGCGCTATAATTTTGGTCCCGACCAACTTTGGAACGTAGACGAAACTGGTATTACTATAGTTCATAAGCCAAATAAAATGTAGCATGTATACCTCGTGTGTTCATAAGTTTCAAGAAAAAACATTTTACTGAAAAATAAAACAAAATGTTACTGGCTGTTATTTTTTTACCGATTTTGAATTTGAAATGTTAACTTTTAGTTCATGGGTATCGCAAATTTAATTGTTTGTTGATGGGGATACGAAACAATTATGTCCAATTGTCATTTTACTATTTAAGGCGGGAAAACAACCGATGCAGATTTTCCCCGTGCTAAAAGTTTTCCCGTGAGCCAAGAGACTATTATTTCGCGCGTTTCAGTGAACAGAATACTGAAATATGATCTAAAGGTTGTTAAGGTTGTTGTTAAGAGGCCTATAGCCATAGGAAAGATAACTTTTTAAACGATCGCCCTCGTCAGTTACGACGCAAACGCTTTCCATTACTGCTGAGGAGACACGATGCCAGGAAGATACTCTTCACTGTCGAGAAAATTTTTACTGCCAAAGAAAAGTCCAACCGATAAAACAATAAAATGTACGCTAAAATAAGCAAGGATGTCCCAGCTTCTGCACGGAATGTCTCGCGCACTCATCACCCGGCTAGAGTGATGGTATGGCGAGGAGTTTTGTATAAATGCTATAGGTACCTTCCACCATTTACTACTAAGGAAATAAATCAATGATATTGAAATAAAAATAATAAATTTTTAACATATTTTTCATTTTCTTCTGTATTGGCATCATATGATCCTATATGTGGAAGACTTGTTCCTGCCAGGATCAAGTGTTCCACATAGTGGGGATCAAGGCAGACATATATATGGGACACTTGATATCATTTTCTGTACGAAGTTTTCGTACGCTGGTTATTTAATTTTTATACCGATATCATTAGCTACTATACTCAGTATAGCTAATAAAATTTCACGTATTTTAGTACAAAAATAATTTAAATCGGATCAATATTTACAAAATAAGGGCCAATAAACAAAAGGGGGGATCAAGTGTCCCAGTCTCCCCTACTCATTGTTATGCGGATGACAGCACGAAGGACTCCACCTATAACGGTCATGCTAATATTTCTCGGGAAAGCGTCATTGAGAGCCGGAATCAACTTGTGTCTGATATTGAATCTTCGTTAGAGGAAGTCTCTAACTGGGGTCGACTTAATTTGGTTCACTTCAACCCTACTAAGACACAGGTTTGCGCGTTCAACTCGCTTTCAAAACATTCCCCTAACTGCCTCAGCCAATATTGAGATTCTCGGTGTCGACATATCGAGTGAGGTCCAGTTCCGTGGTCACTTGGAGGATAAAGCTAAATTAGCATCTAAGAAGCTTGGTGTGCTTAATAATCGAGGCAGTATTTCACTTCGGCGCATCGCCTGCATCTTAAAAGGCTCAGGTTCGGCCCCATATGGAATACTGTTCTCATCTTTGGGCAGGTGCACCCCAATACCAGCTTCTCCCTCTAGACCGCATTCAGCGGAGAGCGACTCGAATCGTCGATTGCCGGGACATTTCAAGTCGGCTTGATCCACTGGCCCTGCGTAGATATGTTGCTTCACTGTGCATCTTCTATCGCATCTATTACGGGGAATGCTCCGAGTTCGTTCAACAATTCGTTCGGACTTATACCTGCCGCTACTTTCCGCCATCGTTCCACGCGACAAGAAATCCACGCCCATCACGTGGATGGTTGGAAGTCCTCAACTGTGCATTTTTTTAGAAGTTTTCTGCCTCGCACAGCCAAACTCTGGAACAGTTTGTCGCCAGCGGTATTTTCGGACCGATACGAACTTCAAACTTTCAAGCGTAGAGCTTATTCGTCCCTCAAAGGACGGCAGCGCGCTTGTAGCTCCTCTGGTGTTGCAGGTGTCCATGGGCGGCGGTAATCACTCACCATCAGGTGATCCGTCTGTTCGACTGTCCCCTATTCCATAAAAAAAAAGATAACTAGGGGACTTAAAAATGTTCTGTTTCCCAAAAAAGTGTGAAAATTATTGTTGGCTGCACACTGTCGGTTATCTAGCAAATTGAGGAAGAGAGTAGGCTACAAGACACCATATGACAGATTTATTTTATTATTTTGGGATCAAATGATATTTGTGTAGTACTTTTATTGTTTTGAACTGTTATATTAATGAGTAATGCTCATTAATGTTAAATTACATGCAAACTATTTACCCCCCCAATTCACCCCTATTCGTGAAAAAAAACTCGGCCTGGCGAACCCATTCCCGAAGCTGCGCCTAGTCGAACAGGCTTCTATATTAGAATACCCGTTAAATCCCCTATACTAGTATTTATGGTCACTTTCCGTGAATAGACAACATAAAAAAAATTGCTTATAAGAATTCAGGATAATTATTATTTGTGATTACATAAAATTGCTCCGAAATTTGTCAACAAGTAATTCAAATGTTATTTTAAAATCATTATTTTGATAGTCTATGTTATAAAAAACAGTCTGAGAAGTAGTAAACACAGCATGAAAGGAAGAGTTCATTGGCTCCATTGGTTTTATTGTTTTTTTTTATCAGACCTCTTTAGTCAACACTAGTTTTAACACCAGCCAGTGTTAATGTTCTCACAGTGCTAACGCCTTTTTACTGTGTTAATTTTGTTGTCTGTTTTAGAAATAGTTCCACAAGTGATGTAAGTGTAATTTAAATTAATAGGAATTTTGCAGGTTAAGATTTTATTGTATTGAATAAGTGCTTATAAAAGTATTCCAAAAATTGTATACAATATATTAGTATAGAGCCGGTAATTGTTTGCCGTCGTTTGTCATAAGATGATAAAATTAGAAATTCCCTCTTCTCTGTCATCAGTTTGTCATCAGAAGATATTAAAACTAGAAAATAAGCTTTTTGAAAATCCGATTAAAAAAGAAACTGTAGATATAGGTTTACGAGTCAGACTTTAATATCTCTATTGCTGGAGGACAGGCCTCTCCTACGAATTAAAGTTGCTTATACTCTACTTATTACTACTACTTATATCGCAGAACGAATGGGGAACGGCTCTAAAATATACCTAAAACTATTTTTTTGCTATGGTATGACGCCAAGGTAAAACGAACACGAGACATTATGTTTAAGGGACCATTAAGTTCTCTGCTTGAAAGAAAAATAAGGTATTGTATATAAATTTATTGTATTTAAATGTTTTTAGATGGTAGCCGCCGTCACTGCACCGACTATGCAGCTTAATGATGGAAATAAAATTCCTATACTGGCGTTGGGAACTTACAGTGGCGTAAGTGGACTTTAAACTTAATATAGTTGTTCAGTGCAGTCGTACCAAACAGTATAAAATTGTGCGTGTGAAGCGTATCTCACATTATTAGCTGCTTATTGAGATCGTAATACATATTATTAAAATGCTATTTCAGACAGGAGAGGTAATGCGTCAGACTGTTAACCGAGCAGTGGAAGTGGGCTATAGACACATAGATACAGCAGCGCTCTACCAAAACGAAGCTGATATTGGAAAAGGAATAGATGACGTCATCAAAAAGGGGCTGGTAAAGAGGGGGGACCTCTTTATCACTACCAAGGTAGATATTTATGATAAAGTGTATTATTTTATTAAAAGAACTTTTCTTAAAGGGTTGGCAAACTACTCCGACTGTGAGTAACGCTCTGTCCTCTCCGCCCACAAAGGTTAAATATATAGATAGACAGTTAGATTAAATAATAAATGAGATTATTCATATAAAGCTAATAAAACATAGGGTTTATGTTTGATATAAAATGCCATATTACTCGTAAAGATGGCCTCGTTAAAAATTCTTCTAATGAACATTTTTTAGCTGTGGAACGATAAACATGCTCGTGACCAAGTGGTGCCAGCTCTGAGAGAGTCGCTAGCCAGACTGGGGCTAGACTACGTGGACCTGTATCTCATACACTCTCCAGCCTCTGAAAATGTAAGTCTTCAAATATAAAAGAATACTTATGTTAGCCTTGCCTTAATGTAATCTGGTCTCATCGCATCTCTAATATGCGATGTTTCGTGTTTTCTTTTTATCGAAAGTCATATTATTTGTCTTTGATACCTTTATTATGATAATTGATAGTAGTGATACCCGAATATTAGTACATGTTTAATAGAATTTCTTATTGCAATCGAAGACTGACTTTGATTAGTACTAGCAGATTAAATAATGTGGCTTCTATACAACAAACTGTTAAATTCTGGTATGAATTGTTAGATATTTTAACTTCTTCTGTACTTATAGAAAAATGTTATTAAATGTACATATTAACAACATAATATAACCGCCCCAAACACTCCGCATTATGGTTAAATATTTACAAGCAAATGATAACGAAATGTTCTGTTTTTTAATTAAAAGATATGCAAATATTTTCTTAACACACATTCTTCCTTTTTATACAACAAATAAGATCTTTAGTAAGTGATTTTGTAGGGGTTTGAATACCAGTAAAGGTCTAGGATATACATTAAATGCGTGTTTATATCTGAAAATTGGAATTGAATGCGTTGTCTAATATGTTTAATTTAATTCCAGCCTGATGGCAGTCCTGCTAATATTGACATTCTAGAAACATGGAAGGGAATGGAGGAAGCGAAACAGTTGGGATTGGCCAAGTCTATCGGAGTATCTAATTTTGATGTGGAACAGGTCAAAAGGATCATAGACAACAGTCAAATTAAGCCTGCTGTCAACCAGATTGAGGTTGGTATATAAATTTTAACATGCTAAGTGTTTTTAGGGTTTACTATTTCAAATGGAACTAATGAAACTATATTGTGGGTAAAGGTAATTTGTCACAACTAATTTGAATTGATTGAATTCTTTGAACCTAAAAACAAATATACTTACGTGAAACGTAAAAATACATTTTAAAGATTGAGAGCGCTCTCGGGGCTTAAATTGAAATTAAAATTGCAAACATGTTAAGTGAAGTGGCTCGTTATGATAAATATGAAATTCATTTTAATTGATATTTCTTTGAATAAAATTTAGAAAAAATATGCTAATATTTCTTCACTATTTATTATTATAATTTCGCAGATTAGAATGTCTCACGCATGAAATGTTCAAAGGAAATGGAAGTGCCAAATAGAAGTGAGAATTTTGTCGAATTTTTCTAAATCTACATTATTTTAACAGCCATTTATTCCCAGATGTAATGGTTATTGAACTCACATTATATTCAACAACTTCACAATATATTATTACAAAATGGCTTATTCCCATTTATGTACCTACAGGTTCATGCAACGTACACTCAAGAACCTTTAGTCTCCGCAATGCAGAAGCTGGGCGTAGCTGTAATGGCATACAGTCCCTTCGGATTCTTAGTAAACCGGGGAGAATCATCAGCACCCCCTCCTCAGACCGACGATCCAATTTTAACGAAAATCGCTCAGAAGTATGGCAAAAGTACACCGCAAGTTATACTGCGGTATTTAGTAAGTACACTTTTGCTTATATGATACTCAGTACTTATTTAGCTATAATGAAGAAGACAATGAAGTCATAATTTTATTTAGCTTGCCCTAACTTATTGAGATATTATATGAAATCAATTCGCCCGGCACCACTTAATGTGGAAAGAGGCGTTCTAAATGTACTCGTAAATGCGACTTTAGTTATTTAAAAAGGGGTTTATTGAAATAATTTTCGATTAAAGCAAAAGCTAAGTCTAATTTAGTAATCTACATCTTACCCTATTTCTGTAGATTTCGTTTTGTTTACACAGATTTGGTATGTAACTGGACGTAATAAAAAATGATTTTCTTTATTGCAGATCGACCGCGGCACAATCCCGATCCCCAAGAGTACCAATAAGGACCGCCTGCAGCAGAATATCAATGTATTCGATTTCTCTCTTACCCCAGAAGAAGTAGCAACTATCAATAAGTTTGACGTCAACAGATCTGTATTTTCTTAAAGCACAATAAAATATGGTTCTAACGGTTCTATGAAATTGATTATTTTAGACTATCTATATCGATCGAACCCCAAAAAATCTTTTCCTAGAACTTACTAATGAGCAATATATATATAAGCATTGAACAGTTATGCGTCTTTTGTCTTTGTCACTCTAACTGAAAATAATATTAGAAAGCCTACTAAACTTGCCAATGGTTAATGTAACAGTAAATTTTAAAAATAAGGTCATTAGAAAATACTACCTTTCCGCCCGCAGCTTTGTCCTCGTGGAATTCGCTTGTATGTTTTGATAATTTTTTCACGTTGAGTAAATGTCTCAGACTCGCGTAACATAGCAGGACGCTCACGGTGACTTTCTTCTAGTGGAGTAAATGTCTCAAGGTCAGCTGTGATACTTTCTTCACGTTGAGAATATGTCTCAAACTATAATTATGGGAATTAAGCAAGTATTTAACTATAACCGTCTTCACTGCGTAAAGGTACACCCAGCATATGTTTTAAAAATTTTATTGCAAGAACTATTTAATGTTTATCAATACCATGAGAAGAATAATAAAAATATGATCACCACTTTACAAACGCTTAACAAACTTTACTTAAAAAATCAATTGTCTTCCGTCAAAAGAAAATGCTCATGATCCAGAACATCTTTTCTTAAGGCGTTATATTCATATCTCTTAAGGTTTAGTTGGGCTACTAGGATTTCACAGCAATTGTTCCAGATCTTCGATTTCTATACGTCAAAAAAAGCGCTATCACGTTGAATAGCTTTTGTTATGGCGTTATATTCGTATTTCTTAAGGTTTTGATGGGCGCCTAAGGTCCCACAGCATTAGTTCCAGTTCTTCGCTTTTATATGGCAATAGAAAACGCATGTTGAATTTCTTTTTCTAAGGCATCATATTACTATTTCTTAATGTTTAATTCGACTGCTAAGATGCCACAGCAGTTGTTTCAGATCTTCGATTTTTATACGTCAATAGAAAATGTTTATTAAGTTAAATAACTTTTTCTAAGTTTCGTTTTATTCATATATTTTATGGTTTAGCTGGGCTGCAAGGATTCTTCATCAGATATTTAGATCTTCAAAATAATTTTAGCCTATATGTTACCTAGGACTAAAATCTATATAACAGAAAAGTGTTGTCAAAATCCGTCCAGTAGTTTTGTGTAAAAAGCGAACAACAGACATTTTATTTTATTTACTTTCAATTTACACACTTAACACCATGTACACTTTTATTATATGTAGAGATGTAAAGGCTTATTTTCATTGGCCAATGAAAAATCAATATCAGTGTAGGATCGAGCTCCTCACTCACTTATTACCTACCTTACTTTGTATTACTATTACACTAATGTAGCATATAGTTAACTAGCTTCACCAGCGGCTTCGCCCGCGTCCCTAGGAAAATGTTTAGTAGGATAAAAGTATCCTATTATCTAAGTCAGCTAATACCATATCTGTACACCAAATTTCATCAAAATCCGTTCAGTAGTTTCGGCTTGATTGACGGACGAACATCCAAACAAAGAAACTTTCACATATATAATATCTATTAGTAGTATTACTTTCCCAATGACACTTAAACCATTAAATTAATTACCTGTGTCACTTTTTCGTCCTATCAATCTAATAACTTTAACGTACTAAACATCAGTATAGAGTAAAAGATTCTAAATTTGTTTCTTTGAGCAGGATGTGAACCAGCGATCTATTGACCATATACATTAAAGGCTTGTATCGAATCAAATAATGTTTCAAAGAGGTAAACTAATTTTGTTTGTTTGTTTGTAGGGGTGATCGGAAATACTGATACGATCATTAAAATTCTTTCACCTAAGGTAAGATACATTATATCATACGAGGGTGAGGCGTACCCCCAACCCGCAGCGAGACCTGCCCTTTTCAGGGCGCGCCGAAATGGGGGCGAACCTCGCGGTGTATGGCCTCCGGGCTGATCACGTGCATTACCTTCCATGCGAGGGACATCACTGGGTTTTAGTGGGTATACCCCTGCTCTTTGACTAGTACCGGTAAGCCGCGCTGGCGACCACGGGGTATGCAATAATGCATTTCCCAGCGTCAAAAAAAAAAAGGTTGACATATGTTATAATTAACGGTGGCGAATTCACGGGAAAATAGCCAGTATCTTAATAAAGTTAAATGAAATAATAAAACAAATAGTGAAATATTTATATTTTTAATCAATTAAATCTCGTGTTACAATTGTAACAAAGCCATCACAGTACTTAAATTCTAAAATAAGCTTAGTCTGGCAAGTAAGGATAGTGAATTTATAACTACGAAATGGTTATCCATTAAATCGAATTAGAATGTAGGGTATTGCATTTTTGAATATGTAGTTCATACTCTTCGTTTCTTTAAAAAATCGACGTAGGTGGCAGCACTAGTAAACATCGTAAACAAATATTTTCGAATGTTTTATCTATTGACAATTAATGATTCCTTTTCTTATTACATCAAAATATGAACTTTCTGCTATGCTAATTATTACTTTATTCTTGCTCACCACACTCACATTGCACTTTATAAAAAAAGTCTATTACTTGTGCTTATTGCACTTTGGCACAGAAAGTTACAGTAATACGTGCTTAGACTTACTTCTTTACTATTATGATGGTATATAATAATAAGTATATTCATAAACCCTAAGCGTAAATCGGGAAGCGTCCTTAGCTCACTGCTAGTCACAGTGAGTCACTTACTGAGTGAACTTACCTAGAACTAGTGAGATATATTTTAGTCTCTCTCAAGTTTATTATTGTCGATATAGTAGTGACGCCTCACTATACTTTCCATAAGCTGCCTGAGAGCTAGTTCTCACGTTATATTTCATCGCGATAAAGAGAATTCAACACAAAGAGTAAATATTATTTAATAGTGTACCTATTTTAATTTTATTGAATTTTGTTAATACTTTTTAATATAATTGACAAATATAAAACAAAGATCTAATATTGCAATAGCGAAAGCCTCTTATATCAGCTTTTATCTAAATTAGATTCATTAGTTAACGTTATCACAATTTTTGAAACTTGATAATTGTGCAAAATAATGTAATTTTACAGAGTATAATATAACGATTTAAACTTTTTGCCTTAATTTCCATTGTGCGGCAAATGGAGATGATGTTCCAATTTGATATTTTTTAAATTCTTGAACTATTTATTTATTTGCTCTTTTATTGATTGTATAACTGAAGAATACACGAATTCATTTACACCGTGTTTGTATAAAGATATACTTTAACTAATCACAATATCGATTATGTTTTTGGAGCGTTTACTTTGGTGACGTGTAATTCAGTTAAGACGTTAAATATCCAATGATATTGCCGACATTAAGCGAGAACCTTTCTTTAGTTATACCTACAATAAGAGAGCTTTTTAACTTATCATTTAGAAAAAAAAACTTCTATTTAACAGTGCTAACAGTAGGTACGATATCAATTACCATATCAGTATCTTGTCTCCACTTATTTTACAACGACCATATTATAGACTTTTTATTTCGCTTGACACATTATTCTAATGTTTTCAACGAACTGTACTGTTTCGATAATCAGCTTGTCGATTAGTCACGCGGGGCAAGGGACCGCACATTGCGTTTAAGTATAAAAAAATGGCTATACAAATAAAAGAAATGTGAGACAGATAAGTTATATAGAATGCTCGGGGATCACGTCCTGTATCCGAAGAGGTACTGAGAGTTGAGTTTTACTAGCTATGAGGATATTTATGCGCTGCACACAATTTATCCACGTGACCTTTCATCGACATAATTTTAAACGCCAGGTGGCGCCACGGTAAAGGTACTCCGTATTTTATATTTTCACGATAGCGGAATGGGCTTAATTCAAGAAAAAATTTATAGTTATAGCATAAAAATTAATTTTCGTTACGTAATGTTATATTAACATAGTTTTCTTTTTTTTTAACCTACTTAAATTAAAATAAAGAAGTCTATATACGTTTTTCGTTGACAGTTTACAATTATCTTTTATAATACTAAAATTTTAAAAAGTGCATTGATAAAAAATATCCAGTACAATCTGTGCTATACTACTAGTATTATTAAAATATATGTGCCAATACAAAATACATAAAGCCGATCCAAGCAGGGCATGACGGAGCGAGCAAAATATGATTCCGATTTTACAGTCGTAAAATCGGAATCATATTTTATAGTCGTAGACTCCAGCATGAATAAGAATTTAGACGCGTCGTTTCCCTTAACTAATAGTTTACTTAAATTATAGTTATCAATCGATGGCGAGCTGTCTGAAGGAGCCATCGATGCCGAACAGCTCGTCGTAGTTGGTAGGGCGGCCCGGTCTCCGTGACTCGTCCGCCTTTATAGACTCTTGTGCAGCGAACCAGTCCCGGTACTCATGCAATTTACACTTCCATTGCTCTGAAATAAAGATGAGAATCATATGATTACAATAGACGGTCGGTTAAGTATTAACTACTGTAGTACAATTTCGAGCGCAATATGTATTGAAGAGGGAGAGGGAGGGAACATACATCCAAATCACTAACTTTTGACTGCTTTTGTATACACAGTTGTACGTTAGGACCACAATAATGTCAAATTTTCATGATTGATTTTGATATCTGTCCTCAATGTATTAAGGTATAGTATTAAATTCGAGTGGGTAATTTTGACAGATTTGCATAACGTGACGTGCCGTACAAAGAAATAACATCCAAATAAGCTGTAATTGAAAACGAGAAACTATCTTATATTACTAAGGGTTCTATCACAGACAAAATTTGAATTTATAAAATTTTATATACAGAAAAAAAACTTAAATTTACTTCTTATATTCATTTAGTTTAGTAGGTAGATACTTTTTTATATGCGAGTCATTTTCGTAGAAAAGTGCATTACGGAGAATGTTTGCAAGAAATCGTAATGGTTTCATCATCATCAGCCTTTAAAATAGTGGCTTACTTAAAAGTAAATTGGTTTTTGGTTTACGCGCCCTATTGAAATAAATATTTTTAGTTTAAGTGACCTTTTTTTCAAGCTAATAAGTACTGATTTATAATGGCATACCTGCTTGTTTATGTTATGACATTATGGATATTGCATTATGGTTTCATATGCGTGTTTGCATTCGGTTAGTAATGTTTCAGAATAATAAATACCTGTTACAATACTGTCGAAATCGCGTACACAGTGTATGCATGACCTTATGAATATTGAGCATTTTAGGTGAAATTTGCACGTTTTAATAAAAACGTGGTAGTCACATAGGTTTCACACCATTAGTAAGTTTGGGATTGTGAATGGCAAAAAAATAAAAATAGATTTAAGTCCTATTTTTCCTTATATTAACACAATTTATCGAATTGTCCGTAGTCACCATTAACTTTAGGATATCGGTAGCTGTTTACAGCGCCGGTTCAATAGAACTTAGTGCCTAAGCCAAACACTGGAACGACGCTCATAAAAAAAAATCACACAAAAAGAAAGACTAATGTTGTATCGATTAAAGATTGTAATTTTCCAATGATAAAAGAATCATCTTAGGTACTGCTAACAAAGTAGAAATTTGTTTCTACTCTACTGCTAGTCTGTAGGTTCTTTTGATTACCGCGGAAATGGTTTTTAAGGCAATGCAAGGGGTTCAAATAATTTTAACAACACAGATTATGCCATCCAGCCCCTGACATACGATTTAGGCAGGCCTAGTTTGCCTATACCGACGGGCTCTGCCTATTTGTCTATATTCAATTTTATTGTAGTGTTTGTTATTAACAAATATATGCTTCTTCATCTAAATAGGTAATAAGCAAGTAGTTTTATTTCATCATCATATTTTATTTGATGACATCTGATACCGAACGGCTTGAACTCCGGTGTCAATGTGTAATTACCTCTGATGTAACTGGTTCGATTCTCTGTCGGGTCAATGCGGAAAATGTTGACCAATATTTATTTATTTATTCCCGAAGACAGGAAAACGCATTAGTCTTCTTCTATCGGTCATTATTTTATTGACCAATGAGATTAATATTTTTTTTTGTGAATCTATAATTTTGTGTGATTCTTTTATGATCTCAATAAAAGAATTGCCTATGTACGACAGACCAATGAAAGTGAGACATGAAAATCATTGGCATGCGGGCTCTACTCTACGACCAAGGTAAAAGAGGCGTAAGGTAACAAGGTTGCTTTACCTTGTAGGTCATCCATAGTACTGCATGGGCCGCCATATTCTATCGGTAGCATATCTTGTGGTACGTATTTGTATAGGTCCTTGACATCTTTGTGTATGAATATCTGAAATACGAGAACAGAATTTTGAAAATGGAACTTGAAACAGAACAATTGGAAGTTTCAAATTAAAATCTGTTTTGGTATTTAAGAAAAGAGTTTTTCTTCTCGTCCAAAGAGTTGGTGTTATTAAGTTTTTCGAATACAAGTTTTGACTATAACTTTTTTTTTACTAATCACTAAAGAGCTTGCATTGAAAATGTATAGGTAGAAGTTATATTATATTATTATTTATCTCTTTGTTTATTTGTTTTTATTTGTTTATTTATCTCTTGTTTATATATTTTTTAATTGTAATTGGTTATAACAATAGTAAGGTTCGAATCCATGTCTAAAAGTTAGGGTAAATGGCCGTTTCAAAAATTTCAAGCATATCGTCATATATGTTTTTTAGCTTCAAACTTTCAACAGACTTTTGTTATGAATGTGTGATGAACATATTTAAGAAAACTTAAGCCAGCAATTACAATGAAAAAGTATGTAGGCTATTAATTCTATTGTTAAAGTCCATCAAATTATTATTTTTTCAACATATCACTTATATCACAAAAGATGTATGTAAAACACCCGATAGTTTATTTATGAATACTATGGTATCTAATTAAATATGGACATGGCTATTAATTATCCCTTACGAGTTTATAGTTATTATACCTAATTAAAAATTGTAATGTTTATAAATCAACCAATAAATAATGATATACTCACCCTTTTCCTAATTTTTTCCTTAAGGAAAGGTTTTACGAAGTTAACAAATCTTTCGACGATGGGTGAAGTGTTTATAATGTGGATCTCCTTCAACTTGACCGGATACGCTTCCTGTTGAATAAAATTAGAAAATATAATTATTATGCAATCAAGATACTAAAGCTGAACAATCAAGATACTAAAGTTGAATTTACATTACGAATCTAGCTAGTTGCATGAAATTAGTTTTACTGTCGGTTTCTGGTGTCGCCATCTCAGAGGTCTAGAGTTCAATTCCCGGATTTTACAGGATAGTAGAAAACGAACTTTTCTATATCTGGGTGTTATACTTTCCTTGTTTCTGATACTCCATAATACGGGGGCTTCGACTACTCATTTTAGAATCTAAACAGTGTATTTGATGTTTAATATTTATTTGTTTATTAATTTCACTAGTAGTTTTATCTGTAAATGTCAGTTTCTCAATGCATGCATTAGTTTCATGACCCTAACACCCAGTTACACAAACGTTTATTAAGGTATGATGACTTCAAGCTCAAAAAAAAAGTCAAATGAAAAATAGTTTTTTGTGAAATCATTCGATTACAATTAATACGCCGAGACTTCCTAGTGAGTAATCAAAGACACTCGTTATGGAAATGACTCGCAACTTGTGTGTTTACGTATTTTTTTATGTTTTATTAGTTTATCTTGATAAGTAATTTTTCTACATCTTCATAGGTTAATCTTTTTACACAATTAGTTTCAGGTTACTTACATTTATATAGTAACAATGGATATCTATATCTTAAGTATACGGTTGATTCATTGTTTTTTTTATTACGTCTCGTCGAGCAATAATTTTGCGAATAGAATATGAGTGAGTAACAATATCTTTTCTACGCTTCTTCAGTGTAGAACTTTGGTCATACGGGAGTGATTTATGATTCTTTAGGATTAAAGCAAATATATAAAGCTTTCTCACTGTTAAAAATTCTAATGAATGTTCTAAATATGCGTCAATAATGTCGCTTTAAGCTAATGACAGTTTTAATTGGCGTTTATGCAACGGACATTACGTAGTTAGATAATTTACAACAGTACGTGGTAACAAAATTTCGCATATTTTTGATATAAATAGTGCCACGCAACTTACATTTACTTGGTGAAATTAGTATGATATAATTAGAAATTAGTTTTGTAATAAAAAAACAGCTTAGTATAATATATGCAAAATTTTGAAGAGTAAGATGAGTAAGTATAATTTTTTAAATAGGATGCTAACAAATTAGGTGTCGATATTATTACAGCTGATAGAACTCAGATCTCGGACTACATATAAGTATGAAATAAGTTAGTAATGTTTCTTTGGAGAAAATTGGGAAATAAATACGCTACGGTAAAACATTCTGTTAAGAAGATAATTAAATCAACTAATTCTTGTATATCGTAACAAATCAAATACTTAAATTTTAATGTAATATACTATTTGTATGATGATAATGACATTTAAGATAGTCAACTATTGATACGACAGAAAGAATTAATTTTAATTACATCAAATAAAAAATAATACTATTTTCTTATTAATTTATATTTGAACTAATATTAGGTACTTATATAAAATCCATCTTTTACAATATTGGTAATCAATTTTTGTATTCAATAATTTTTGGATTTGGGAAACAATATGCACGAACTCATATGTCATTTCATTTTGAATCTGTGTTTTTGTACCGGTCAGTAACACTGGAACTACTCATAACGTAAAATTATATATGTGTAGTAAGTTAAGCGAAAATGCCTTTAACCTACTTAAGAAAAAAATATGAGTCCATTAACGTCAAACTGAGGACAAATATGGTGTCAAATGCACAGTTATTCTTCTAGTATTTGCATCTGACATACAATACATACAATCTGACATACAATAATATTATTTTAGTGTTACTTTCATATGGTTTGCATTTTGCCCACTCATTACTACAAGACATAAAAGAAAACAGAAGCTTGCAAACAGAATATATAGAACTCGTCTTGTGTAATAGAGTTAAAGAAGCGGATGAATGTGCTCGTTGATTCTGGAACGCTATTGACTATATTATTCTATCCTCTACTCTAAATGATAGAACAAATGCACTGCACATCAATCAGAATGAAACGACGAAACTTTTTATGAAAACAAACCAAAAAGTACCTATCTTTGACTTTTTTATGAAAATTTCAGAATTCTAATTTAGATGCCATTACAATTCTTTTTCGATGGTGACCCAATATTACTCGAAGACCCCAACGTTTTAATTAGATATTTATCAGTGTTAATAAAATAAATGGATTATTACAAAGTCCTTGGTTTGCACAACCTGATGTTATAAAATTTTATTCGTACATTCTAAGATCACTCGAGGTTATAAAATTCTGGATTTATAAATAATATTCTCACCTGTATACATATCATGAACTTCTTAATGGTAGCAGGAGACAACTTCGCTAGTAGACTAGGTCCCAGTACCGCAGCGTCAAGGACATAAATGTCCCCGGCTACTCCCTCCCGTTCCTCGGTGAGACGTACGTCTCCAATCATCAAGGCCAGTTTTAACGTGTCTATGATTTCCATTGTGCTCAAATTTGGGTGGACACCTTTGTACAAGGACATATTAAAATTATTGTATTTTAAAAGTTGTGCGTTCACATACTTATCATTAAGAGGCGGATAGATGAAACTGGGAGAGACCTACGCCGCAGAGGAAAGTTCCACAAAAGAATAATTAATATGTAATTAACCAATAAAATAAAATAATGATTAACTAAAACAGGTGCGTGTAATTTTTAAAATGTGCATATTGTAACGGTGTGCCATGCCACCGTTTGTTTTCCTAGGTTTCAGTATGCAAACTTTTTGTTTTTGAAATTCAACATCATTTCATTTTATTATTCGTCTTTCGTAATTTAAAATTTTGACTAATAAATTATACTCTTTATGGATGTTAGTTCGTAAGAAATTCTTCTATGCACAACATGAAAATTAATATACAGTATTCAGTATTAATCTTATAAATTTTATTATGTAATTTTAAAATAATTTATTGATTGTGATAAAGAATGTGATATTGTGATACAAATTATATAACATATGTACTAAATTGCAATCTGTATTTTGGACGATCCAAGAGTTTAACTAGAAGCCCGACAAGGGGTATGTATTCGTTTATTTGATAATTTAAAATTTATAGTTAAGTAACTTACGAACTGTTTTATAAATTTATTTTTTGTTTGTTACAGTTTCTTATTTACCCTTATATAATTAATAAATCTATACTCAAGCTAATCAGCCTTATTAATTGACCCAAGAACCGAACCCGTCACAATATTAAATGGAAAATCAATATAAATTGAATATATGCAGCGGCAGAACAAACGCTAATAACTTGATGTATTTTAACTTGATATTATCACGTGCTTCTTGGGTTGGAAATGGTTTTTATTCTAGAAATACAGATTTATAAATAACTACTTCTACTTAATTCTTTAAATTTGAGTTTTATTTCTTTAGAGTTACGGAACCTTGATTCACGAATGATAAATCCTTAAAATGTTAAAAAACAACAATTTTGTAAACAATTTAAATTCTCAAAGTCTCAAGTCTCAAATTAACCTTAATTGCTTTAAGTGCGAAATGCCGGAAGACAATGGTCAATGTGTAAGTTTGGTCAAGGATAACGGTACAGGGGCCTATTCTTAACATTCGAATTAAATCAAACATAAATTATACAAGAAAAATAAATATTTAAAAAATTAACTTTGATCACAAGACATTATCAGATAGTAATAATAGTAATAATAAAAAGTGGAAGAGTCATAAAAAAGATTATCTCAAGAGCCTGACAAACCTTACCCCACACATCTATCCAATTCTAAAATGCATTAGCTGCATATTATTTGGCAGAAATCGTAAAAAACCTATGAGAGAATAGGTTTAATTTGTCGAAGTAACAACATCTCCCAACTATCACTGTATTGAGACAATTAGTGAGACGAACGTCGATGTATCATTGCATTGGTTGCACTTTAAAGCTTCGCTGAACCGCATTGGTAGGTAATAAGGGAATTTATACATAAATTATGCATTATTTTAAAATCTATAAAAAAAAATTAGGTACTTTTTAGATAGTTGTATGTCTCTTAATAACATAAACGTGTCGCCTAAACCGTTTATCTCTGTAAGTTATAAGTAAGTATTCAAATGTCGATTTCTACTGAGGGGAAATCCAATTTTGTTTATAAGAATTAGGGAAATCGGAGTGAAATGATAAATATTTTATCACCCTCTATTAACATGTACTTTATTACAGAACCTAATTCGAATGACGACTAATTGACTCTGAGAAAGAAGACATGTCTAGAGAGTAGGACCCCTGACACCAACAAACTAGTTTTGATGGACTGGAGGTCCTCAAACTGTTTGTCCTAGACCATTTTACATAGCAGCTATGCGTAGACACTATGCTTAGCTAATATATTTTTATATATTTTTCTTCGTTCATTTCCATTGTAGTGAGGCCTGCAGGATTAAAACAACATGTTCTTATCTATGAGTAAATAGTATCGATGTTTTATAAAGTTTTACGTATCGAAGGAGATGGTTCATTGCGTACATGAAGTATAAAAGAGATACGTGGAGTGAAAATCGCGCGTATTTTCAAACAGCCTTATCTATGCGTTAGCAACTATTCTTTTTCTGGTGCCCGCCCAAAAGGTGATGACCTAAGCAATTAGTTTATTTGCTTATAGACAGATGCGGCACTGATAGTGAGTAATAATACCAAAAATTCCCATTAAAGTTTTCAGATTTATTAATGGAATTTAAGTTTATTTTACGATGTACTGTAATTAATCACCCGCATACCGCACGCAGATTTTATCGAACAGGGCCTCAATTCTGTTAATTTTTTACGTAATATTGGCATCTCAATAGAGCCTCAACTACCTGCTTGCATTTTGCCATTTTACTTTCTAATATTAATATTGATGCAATTCCTTAGAAATCAATGGTGAAAGTTGTTTATTATTTTGTGATATAGTTACAAGAACTGTATCATAATAGGGTTGTATTTGAAACGCTATTGACTTTCTATAATTATGTTAACATTGCACCTACTGTAAATATGCTTTCATTGTCGACCACTAGGGGACGATGTACAACACTTTGAGTATCGGTGTGTTAGTGTAATGTACTTTAGTACAGAACGTAGTGCATTGCCCTTCCGTAGCAGTCAGTGGATCAAACAAGTTATTTGCCATACCAGTGCTTCTACATACAAGTGATTTTGCACTTTTTTACTTTTAGTACTTGTACGAGTAAGTATATTTGTATATGTATGAATAATATTCCATCATCACTAGCCTTTTAATGTACCCACTTCTGGGGCCCAGGCTTTGCTTTTAAATTAATAAAATCGAATTAGAAGAATGGGCCATGTATTACCCATAACACGGGTGGTGGGTTAACATTTGCAGACGTAGTCGGGATCTACGGCTTTACGTGCCTTAAAAGGACCGAGGAACTCGATAAATTTTTGGTCACCGATCCTACTCTTGCGAAAGTTGTTTAACAAACGTATCGCTGACCGAATGTGCTAACCACTGCGCCATCCTCCTCTAGCATTTATGTCTAAATAATATTTGTTGGTTTTCTATTTCGATTACAGTTTATAAGTGCAAATTATGTAGTATTTAGAGTTCCGTATTATGGATACCATATTTTATTTCATATCATCGTGTGTTAGTCTGTCCATCCGTCAATGATCTGTCCATTTAACAATATTTCAAATATGATTTTCTCTAAATACCTTATTTTGTCTTATTATAAAACTAGGACTACAGTAAGTATTTGTTTTAAACCATTGTCCGGCTAAAGCAAATTGACAATGAAAATACAGTCGCAGACAGATTTAAATAATATGTTAGCATTTTTATAAATATTCCTTTTTATTCGATTCACGAGTATAACTTACCTCTGCATATGGTGACTCTTCTTCCATTCGGTGTCAAACCGGAAAGTGGTGGCCCTTGCCTGCGAAAATATAATATAGAATAATGCGTTAAAAATAATTCAATAATTTATATATTTAAATTTTTCAATAATTTTTAATTAAATTAGTTTATGTATTTCAATTACATCCGTCTTTTTTTCAGAAACGTTTGCAATAAAATATATGTTTTTTGTTGTTTCATATTTCAATATTTTTATAATTATTTAAACTTTAATACCTATAAAAACGTAGGTTCATCGTCAAAAACCAGCCAATAACCTCATGGTAAAGTAGGGTGACTAAAGTAGCAACAGTATTTATAGACATTTCTCCTTTATATCTGAAATTAGTAGCTTAAAAAGAACAAAAACGTTTCACTGATTTACACTAACAATATTAAAAATTGTAATTATACATTTTTGCTATAACAAATAATAACAATTATTAAACAAATCTATGAAGGTTAATGCGCAGATGTTATAAAGATGTATACTTAATACAAAAAATTGCTAACAAAAAGGCTCGATCGGTGGTCATGGTTCAAGATACTATAGTTAAAGATGTTTCAAGGTGCATTAAGTAGCGTGCGTACCTTGAATGAAGGCCAAGATCATCCCATTGAATTTTACAACAACAAAATATACGCACTAACTAGAGGAAAACCTCCTTCTTCTTTTAAGTTGGATAAAACTAACCCTATCTCATTGACTGATTAGATTAGTTTAATTTTCCACAGTTTCTACATTCTTCCCCTTTCTTGTATATCAGATTATTCTTGCATCGGGCTTAGCTAAAAAAATATACATAACACTATAAAAAGCAGGACATGACCTGCAAAGACAGGACGGTTGGCAACTTCAGTCATAAACATTAACCTATAATTTGTGTAATAAACTTAAGGTCCGATTTCGATTCCGGTCGGATCAATATAGAAAATGAACTTTATAGTCTCTGGTTTGAGTGTTGTGTTACCTGCGTTGTTTCATATTTCTATGTTTAACTCCTTAGGATCTGAGCATTGTATGTCTCATATTATTTTGATGTTTAAAATGTATTGTGTGTTTGTACATTTTCGACGACTAGTCGACCACGAGTAAAATTAATTACAGCATTTGTTTCTAGGTACAAGTAATCTATAGACTAGATAAGGTTTCTTTGTCTCTATATAGTTTACAAACCCGATAAACAAAACTTATGATTTTGTAACCATGTAATATAAACCACTGTACTCTATTATGCTGCAGGTTGATTGATAAGGTCACATGATGTAATAGGGAGCTGTATGCTTATCTCTTGATTGCACTATGATAAAATTTCAAAGGTAAATCTCTTGACGGTTATATATTTGATATTTCATAACGCTGTTATAAAGAGAAATATTAGTTAAATGTTTTAAATGCATCGTATTTTCAGGGTATTGGATCATTGGATATGATCTGTTATCACGCTTTTTCATCGCACGACGAGTTGAAACGCATAACTATCTATAGAGTAGAGATGTACCGAGTGCTATGTAATCCGTGCATCTACCCCGGTTCATAAGGCATAAAAACCAGTTTAAATAGCTACATTAAAGTACTAGGTACATGCCTAATTAGTTATTATACTCAGTAATAGCGATTACTTTTTAATTTGAACCATGTTATTTAGACGAATAATGGTAATTTTTAATGTTGTCTAGAATGCTTAATACCAAATAATAAAAATACTCAGTCCGACTAAGTATAGTTCATCACATTAGCTATGCTATTCTGTTAACAAAACAGTTTCGTCGAACGCGGCGGTGTGTAGAGCGTCATGCGATGCGACTATCGTACGATGAAATCGCAATATTTGCTCGTATGATTGTTCAACTATATGTTCACAAGAATTCTACGAAAGACTTAACTGCTGTTGTAATATCTTTTCAACTACATGCATAATTTGATGTTTTTACGACTGTTATAAAGATTTTTATTATTTAATGAAAACTATTAGGTACTGTGTTCGAGGTAGTTACTGCAGTTGAAGAATTTGTTTGTTGGTTTGGTTGAACGTGCGTTGAATCTCAGGAACCAAAAATGCACTGTTAAGTAGAACATTTTTTGTAAACGGTTATAGGCTATATATATAACATCACACTATGGTTAACAGGAGCGTAGCAGCAATAGAAAACGTTGCAAGAACGTATGATATTTCTCTAAAAAAATACAATATGGTGTTATAATATTATTTTATTACCGATAAAAAAATAAATATTCAATTATATCCAATGAAAAAAAAAAACAATTCTATTTGACGACGTAAAATATTTTAGAAAATTTTATTAAACCCTAAACTAAAATAATTTTAGCTTATTTTATAATATGCTGAATAGTTCCATGTATTTTAGATTAAATTAGGTTTAGTTTTGTCGAAAACCTTAGTATGTTAGATTGCGACAGATCTCTTAAATTTTACGCCACTCACTTCCCTTTAAGCATAGCTACTGCTACAAAATATCAAGATTTACAATTATTTTGAGACCAAGACAACTCATTTATACGTGGAAGACGGTGATGAGTAGGTATTTCCATTGTGGCTATCTTTATTAACCATCTCTTTTGTAGAATTCTTAAAACAAATAAAGTGTTGCCACGGCAACATGACTTGTTATATTAGTAAATGACACTGATTAAATAATAGTTCAAATTTATTGGTTTTTAGGATTCCGTACTCAAAGAGTTAACAAATAGGACTCTATTACTAACACTCGTACGATACTTGAGAATATGTCATAATTTAAGGAAAAACAAAAATTTTAAAGAAGTAACTTGTTAATAATTAGAATACCTACTATTATTATTTCTTACTTCATTCAAATTCTCGTCTATTAGTTAAATTTATTGGCTTAAGCTATGTAATTTTCTCAAGTAATTACTTCTCTAGACTATAGATAAGATTGTAAGACTCCGCTGTCCGTCTGTCATTAGGGTATTATTTCAGGAACCGTGATAGTTAGAAACTTTGATTATGTACTTGTCATTGGCCTCCTTGGTTATTATTACCATTTTAAAAGAGAATAATTTCCTATTAAATAATATTCGTATGAATTTCAAAAAAAATAATGTTTAGTAGACAAAGTAGACAGTAGTATTGAATTTGGATCCATAACCGTGTTTTTTTTTCGAGTTTAGCATTTAGTGAACTGATGCTGATTTTAAAGGATCTAGGAGCTCAATAGGTTTTTTGGCGTTCTTTTTTTTAATACGGATCTTCGAATTGTTTAGTAAGTATGTGTACTAAATGTTAAGCTTCATTAGAATGCATCTTAAGGACTCCTGTGTCTTAGGTTACCCGGCGTTGAATATCAGTTCTATTATTTTATCTGATATACCTTACCATGCCTGAAGCAATAGAGCACGCCTCTGTTAACTTTACAAAGACAAAAACTTTAAAACAACTTTTATGATATATTTCGCATTTTATTAATATAACACCCAGTGCCCAGCCCCTTAATAATGAAAACCACTTAAGATCTCATATGTGATAAATATTTGCAGCAAGACGAAACCTCGCGTTGCCAAATACAGTTACGAGATATTCCTGTGCAACCTGCATCGTGCTAACAAAGTTTCGACGACGGGCGACTTAACATATTTAACACCGAACCTCCATCAGTTAAATTGCGTTTCATTTCCTTTCTCCCTCCTTTACAATCTGCCTCTCACCAGCTAGTAAGGCCGCAGTCTCCTTCAATTCAATCATACAAATAAATAACACTTACACTTTAGAAGTAAACACGTTGTCAAGTTCAGGGCTAGTCGGATCTCTGTTAGCGAAGAACTCAGGACAGGCCGCTCTCATCGTGAAGTACATGTCTAGTTTCCTTTTGCATTTCTCCAGAGAGTAGCTGCTGCCTCGCAGGAAAGTCATCAATGGTCCATCCTCTGGGACGAAAAATTCAGAATATGTAGGTACATTTGCTTATCTCTAATCTAATTGAGACAATGAGAGCCAAAAGGTCTACCAATGTTGCCATTTACGTATTCTTTCAAATTATTTATTGATATTTTTCATTGCATATTGCTGTTGTTCGTTCGCGATCGTTGTCGTTAAGTAATTTTCGCAAGGGTCGGTCACGGGAAGGGTGAACAAAAAATTATTATCTCGAGCTACTCCGTGCTTCGGAAGGCACGTTAAGCCGTTGGTCCCGGTTGCATTTGCAGTCGTTAATACCCTCCAATCAGAATGTAATCGCAATGTTTGTATTTATAATATGTTGTTATTTACATATTATAAATACAAACTATTACATATTATATATACATATTATAATTACATATTATAAATACAACATATTATAAATTCTTCGTACAAGTTGTCTATAAGCTGTTGCTGGATTTATTAGAATTAATTTGTGAAAAAACAACACTCTTGTAGTAGTAATTGAGTGCGTTTGGAGCTGAACTCTCAGAGAAATAAACTTAGACTGTCTAATTACTATGGATATGTATTTTGAAACGTTGTTGACTTGAAAATATCTTTCTAATTTCGCTCTTATTATAAAAAAAGTAATAATGTATTATGTGGATGACAATTCCATGTTATGGCTTATTAGTTGTGAAGTTAATGAATAAGGTTACTTTACATCGTATTTTTGGAAATTTATTGCCGTTTTAATATATGTAAGTATAACTTCGACCGAATGAGTAGTTAAGGAAATATATGTATTTTTTTTAACAGTAGATAGCAAAATAATTGTCATTTATATTGACACATCTATACTCAAAGCGGCAACACAATTAATGTTTTATCATATTACTGTTTCGAAGTTTTTGTATCACTTATTGAAGATACTTGAGGTACCCTGATAGTTAAGTCTTTTTTAAATACTTCTGTAGATTATATATTTTTTAATTTTACTCACCCCATTCGTCAGGTAAGTGAGGTTGCTTTCTCAGCCACTCTTTGATGGTCGCCAAGTCTTTATCCCTGGTTGCGACATCTTCGTTCAGTTCCGCCCTGGTCATCTTCCATATCTCCCCTGAAGGTTGGACGAGAAGTTCAGTCTTAATCTTCATATTTGACTGCAACAAAATCCGTATTTTATTTGTTAAGTCTAAATTTTTCTGGCTATTCTATTCTATTGGTTAAAAAATCACTTAAAATAAAAAAGGTAATAATCAATTCTATGAATAACTACTGTTTTATTATTTGCTCAACCGAACTTATTTTAGATTTTAATTTTTCAAATATTTTTAATGCATTTTGGTAAATTATCATCTTAACATCTTCTCAGTATCATCATCCTCCACGCTGGCCCAATGCGTATTGGAGGGTATTAACGACTGCAAATGCAGCAGAGACCTGTGACTTAACGTGCCTTCCGATCCACGTAGTAGTTCAAGATATTTTTTTTTGTCACCCATCCCGTGACCGACCCTCGCGAATGTTGCTTAACCACAACGATCACGTGCCGCGGCGTTTATTCACTACGCCATCGAGCTACACCTTAGTATGATCTTGGAAAAGGTAAAAACGATAGTTGTTTACGGTATCACTATTATGTACCTTATTTTTATAAGGATTTTTACACGTTGCTAGCGCCATTATCACTTAATAACTGAAGCACAGAACAACTGAAGTCCTGCGGGTATAAGTTAATGGCAAATATATCGTTTTACCCTCATTCGAATTTTCTTATGTTCGGTAACGGCACCACTTTTAAAAATTGGCTTGTTTACATATAATTAAGTTGGATCGAGTAGATTTTAAAATATTTTTTTGAGTTATTAATTACGTGTAAACACACAAATAAGTAATAAGTAAAGTAAAATCTCAGCTAACTATGAATTTAAAATTAAAATCTATTTAATCACGTGTAAACCAGCCTCTAGAATCTACGAGTACTATTACATATTTACTTAATTACGTGTTAACTAGCCATAACATCAGTGATGACCACTCACTTGTCGACATACAACACTTCAACAAACAATTTAAATCTGTGAGTGGTGGGGGGGTGAACGTTCTGGTGACTCGATCACGGCTTCCCGGATCTTATCCCCAGGAGAGGGTATACCGTAGAGGTTTCTGTGGATAGGCCTTCGTTAGCCTACCGCGCGGCTAGCCACGGGGTGGTAAGTCGACGTAAATAAAAAAAATGGTATTTAACGTTCAATCGAGATAATCTGTGGCTTACGGAGCACAATCCTGTGGGTAGGTCCCGAAATAAATAAATGTTCCGCGATGGCTGATTTTTGCGTAATCCAGAATACATTATTCGTTTTATTAAACTCCGTGATAATGACGCTTGCAACAGCGCTGAAATATCGGAGACTTGATAAAAATAAGATACATGTAGCAATCCTGTGAATGACTTATTATGTTAATGACCATGAAAATTTAAAACGACAAATTATTAAGACGACTTCAGTATCATCGTTTTTGTAATCAGCTCTTCTGTTAAAAATATGTAAAATACATTTTTTTTTGTATACGAAATATTTTATTCCAATTATTTTGAAAGACTTTTCATGGATTTTTCAAAATAGCTATTTTCACTTTTTTTTTTAATGTCAACGAGCACCAATCATAAAGTCGTTAGTTATAATGACAGCAAACGAAATCGTCTCCAAATTTAAAAAGATTTATCAATTTGACAACTTTTTGTCGTTCCACAATAATAAAATAGTTTTAATGTCTTTAACATTGCATTGTATGTAAGGTTGTTCGTTACCGGAAAACAATTATGGCTGTAGGACTACACTTACGTTTTAAATTATTTTAAGACTATACTATAGATTATTTCTCTTAATTTTCAACCGAATAATAACCGAAAAATATCAAAGAGACAAAGGAAACAAAAAATTAGCCGAAACAACTTAATTAACTTAATTCGTAAGACGGAATGCAGTAAATAGATAATTTTGAATAGATACAAATTAAAGTTTCATTTATATTTCTGATTTTTTAACAAAAAAGTAAATCGATCAACAAAATTTAAGGAAACTAAACAAAAACTCACAAAAGAATAAAAAAATCGCGATATTTTGTTTTTTTTTTCGATGATAATTAATATGTCTAAGCGTTTTGTTATAAAAATCAAATTGTTAATTCGACTTCCATAATATTTCAATGGGATAATGTCAGGCCCATAAGGGCGAATATCGATCAAAATGATGGAGGAACATTGTTGAGGACAGCAAAGGAAACGGCGGGTTGGGGAAGAAATAGGAAATATATTTATAAATTTTACAATATCAAACGAAAGCTAAGTTTATAACGGAAGAAAAAGTTGTAAGTGACAAGAATAGAGTTAAGAGCGAAGCATAGATAATTTAATAGAGTATAATATAAATATTAACAAAAATAAGGTCTGTCTCGCACATCGCCCTCCTCGTATACAAAGTATACCTATTAACATTCTAAAGACAGACTACTTAGATTTAAACACAAAAGATACAATCTTCGCATAAACAAAATAAACAAACCAAAAAACTATTTACAAATATCTAACTTAATTAACTTCCTAACTGGTCGCCTCAAAGTTCCGCCTACTGTACGTACATCAGCCACTCTAACAACGCCGTCACGACCTGGGTGAATTTGGGTAATTCTGCCTTTTGGCCATACTCCACGCGGCAAGTTGCCATCTCCAATCAAAACAATATCACCTACTTGGATATTTCTTGTGATATTCGAGGTAGCTATGTCCCTTCTGGGGTTTAAAAGTGGTAAGTACTCCCGCACCCATCGCTGCCAAAAATGATCTGCGAGTCTAACAGCTTTTCTCCAATTCGCGCGTCGTATTAGGTCGCTGTCGGTCAGATTGTCCGGCCCAGGAAGAGGTGACGACTGACCAATCAAGAAATGGTTGGGTGTGAGAGCTGGTGAATCGCTGGACTCTACGGAGACATGTGTAAGCGGGCGAGAATTTACTATACTTTCAGCTTCTATCAACAAAGTATTCAAAACTTCTTCACGAGGAGCTCTCTCCTTAAGCGTTGCTGATAGAGTTCTCTTCACACATCCAACCAGTCGTTCCCATACTCCCCCCATTGAGGGTGCTGATGGTGGTAGGAAATGCCATTCAATTTGGTTGTTTGCCGCAAAATCCGCTACTGTTTGTTGGTGACATTGCCACTCTCGTTTAATCTCACCGCTAGCGCCGACAAAAGCAGTCCCGTTGTCGGAGTACATCTGCGTTGGGCATCCACGTCTAGCTATGAAGCGACGTAGAGCCATCATCGCCGAATCCGCCGTTAAGCTACCGACTATCTCCAAGTGGACGGCTCTTGTAGAAAAACAAGTAAATAGGGCTACCCAACGCTTCTCTCTTCGCCGTCCTACAGCAACTTCTATGGGCCCGAAGTAGTCCAAACCCGAGACGGAAAACGGGCGCTGATGGTGCAGTAGACGTTCAGCAGGCAGGTCGCCCAGCGGTGGAATAATTTGCGCAGCTTTTCTATTTTTGCATACTTGACATGACGCAGCGACAGCTCTGACAGTGGGTCGGAGACGAATGATCCAGTACCGCTGGCGAAGCTCATTTACTACCATCTCACGTCCAGCATGTCCAGCCCAGTTGTGGTAATGAGCTACTATCAGTCGAGTAATATAATCGCGACCATTCAAAATAACAGGCTGTTTCACGTCCTCAGTAATATCGCTTGCAGCACATATACGTCCATGTAGACGATAAAGGCCATCGTTGTCGACTTTCGCTGATAATTGTTGCAGTTGACTCTCCGTGAGACTTTCTTGCTGACTATGGCGAAGCAAGTGAATCTCTGCGTTCTTCAAATCAGCGGCAAGAAGTGGGCGCAGCCCTCCTCGTTCTCCCCTATGATGTGCTCTGGTTTTTTGTCGTACAAGTCGTAAAAATTGATGGGCACGTGCAGTAGTACGTAGCAGGCGGAGCCATGAGCTATAACGACTAGAATTTGGAACAATATTATAAGGCCGAATAACTAACATACAGGTTTTAATCTCTAAAAGACTGTCGGGAATACTAATACATGGCTCTATAGGAACCTCAATTTGATAATAGCGTAAAAAACTAGGACCCTGCAGCCATCGATCTAACGATTCCACGCCATCTGTCACAATACGAGTAGCATCGTCAGCTACATTTGAATCTGTTTGAACATAAAACCATTCGTGAGCTTGCGTAAGCTCCACTATTTCGCCAATACGGTTTCGAATAAACGTTTTGGAATCGCTAGCAGCACTTCGAATCCAAGCGAGAACGGTTTGCGAATCGCACCAGAAAAATCGTTTAGTGTGTTTAAAACGATGCTGTTCGCAAATTGTCGTCGCTAATCTAGCCCCTAATAAAGCGGCTTGCAGTTCGAGCCTAGGCACTGAAGCAGGCTTCAGTGGCGCAACTCGAGACTTGCTCATAATAAAAGCAACTCTGACGGAACCGTCTGCATATAAGAAACGCCAATATGAAACACAAGCATAAGCTTGATTACTTGCGTCTGTAAAGGTATGTAACTCTCGAGCAATAGGACCAACGGTGTCGGTATAGCAACGTGGGATCTTCAAAGACATTAAAGATGCTACGCTGCGGTACCAATCTCCCCACAGACTTCGTTCATTAGAAGGTAAAATATCGTCCCACTCCTTTACTAACTGCCAAGTTCTTTGAAAAAGTATCTTACCCGAAGTAATAATGGGACATAAGAATCCTAACGGGTCAAAAATCTTCATCAGATCTCGAAGCACTTGCCGTTTGGTTAACGTTTCGAGATCTGGCGAACTAAAGTTAATTTTGAAGGAAAAAGTATCATCATGAGGGTTCCAGTGTAAACCCAAAACACGCAAGCCTACCCCCTCTAAATTAAGATTAACTTCTTTAATTTCGATATTAATTAAATTCGGCTGTAGTAGTTTGAGAGCTTCTGGTTTATTCGAGACCCATGATCGCATCTCAAAACCACACTGACTATGCACATGAACTATATCGGCTGCAACCTGAGCTGCATGTTCTACATCGTCATAACTTCCTAAAAAATCATCCATATAGTGACTTTCAACAATAGCTCGCGACGCTTCAGGAAACTTTAATTGAAAG